CTGTTGTGGTTAATGCTAACCTACTAACTCGGTGGGCTAAATTTTCACATTCTGTGCTGTTATGTCTATGATTCTATAATGTTAATGGAAGTTACAGACACATGGTAATCTTCAAAGTGTATTTTGCGGTTAAACTCAAATCGATACCTGTAACTTTACAAGTTATCTGTGTCTGGCTTCCAGCCTCACTGGAATCAATATTTACCGTCTTGCATAAGCTCCTCTCCTCCCTCAATAATTGCTGTCCAATTATATGGATTGCTTCTTTTGCAAACAAAAAGAAAATGACAGCTCTCCACTGAAACATACCTTTGAACAACACCACCATCAGCTCCTCCTGTCTATTTTAATCCTGTGCTAAATGGAAATTGGTCCCAATGTTTTACTTTTTGCTTCAACTTGTGAAAAATATGAACAACTCTGATTCCTCCAAAACACTGATGAATTCCAGATATTAGCAAAAATTATATAGCTGTTTGCTACTGATGCATCTAATTTAATGTTTCTCAAATTAGAGCAGTGTATAATAATAATAACCCTTCCATTTGATATGGCGCCTTATCACACCATCGAGACGTCTCAAAGCGCTTCACATAGAATATATTATATAGTGTAGTAACGGTGTGTTTTGTGGGCAAAACGCAGCAGCCAATTGCGCACAGTAGTATCCTACAAACAAATGGAGAGAAAGGAGACACATAGACAGGGAGAGAAAATTAGAAATAGAGAGAGGAGGCTGAGAGAGAGACACAGTGCGAAAGAGACTGAGAGAGAGAAAGAGACTGAAACCCCAAAGGACTTTTCAAAGTATTGAATAATTTGAAAACCTGAATTATTGTTGTAACATTTATATCACTGGAGAAATGCTGTGTAGCAGCTTACATGAAAAATGTTCAGCAAACCTTTTTTTCCTTTAGGGAGTGGCAGAAACCGGATTAGCCATGTCACATTTTTGTCAAAATGTCAGATGAAACAGACTTGATGATAATAATAATCTTTGCATTTGATATAGCGCCTTATCACGTTTTCAAAGCATCTCAAAATGCTTCACAGAATATATTATAATAATATAAATAATCCTTGCATTTGATAAATGCCTTGTCGTGTCTTCAAGACGTCTCAAAGCGCTCCACAGAATATACTGTAAAGTGAATTGACTGTATATTTTGTGGGCAAAACCTGACAAGTTATGATCATTACTGTTGAAACAATCACTTGCTAGGTTTGGAATTATAAAGTGAATTTCCTATACTTTGTGGGTGAAATGCAGCAGCCACAAAATGTGTCCCACAAACAATACAATTTACATCACATCAGTTTTTGACCACCAATATTTTGTATTAAGAAGCATCCCTTAAAAGTGACGGGGTATAATCATTACCATTGAAACAATCACTTGCAAGGTTTTCGAATTCACACCAGATGACTTCTTCCAACAAGTAAAGATTAATGGTTTGACAAGTCTCATAGGATTTCTGTGAATCGTAACTCACTTAAACAGAATGGCTATTTTTTCAATCAATAAAATAGATTGTTAAAACAATATATCCGAATACACTTTTGGAAAACGCCTGCATGCTCAACTGGTTAATGTGGTGAGTCATTTCTTCCAACTCTTTGTATCCATTTGTGTGCTGTGTCATCAACATCCGACTTTTTTATTTGTTAAAATACAATTCAATTGACTTGATGTATCGCCTCCCACATCGGGAGACACCTCAAAGTGCTTTACACAGCTGGCTGGGAACCCAAGTGAGAGTAGGGAGGGGGTGGGAGGGGGAAGAAGATGACAAAAGTTGAGGAAGATGAGTTAAGTCTTAAGGTCGCCTCCTGTTTCTATGTATCTATGGTATAAATTGCCCCATTCTTATAGACAGTCAGTAAAAAGTGCAAGTTTGAACAATTGGGGTGTTATTAACCATGCCTCTCTTAGCTCTGAAGACGAGGATAGTATGGAATAAATAAAGAGTGGGTTAGTGCCTCAATCAAACAAAAAACTAATAGGAATTTCGAACACATACAGACCAACAGAGTCAGGCCCTCAGCAAAATAATTGGAGCCATTCGACTGTAATTGTATTCAGAATTGTAATACACAGAGTTCCTTACATGAAAGAAAGACCCCAGAAGCCCCACATTGTGTTTGAGATAAGCTTTGCCTTAAATCCTCTTTCAGATCAGGCAGTCTTCTGTTTCTTTTTTAAAATAAACAATTTTCGTGGCAGCAAATCAAAGAATAACCCTGCATGCCTTGAAGCAACTGGGAGGTGGGGGAAGCAGCATGACTTCCCCTCAAGAATATTACTCTATAAAACAATTAATGTGGTTGTTTGGATATAAAACTTAATAGTGATCAGCTGGGAGCTGTTTACTCCAGCTAAACACAATCCATATAAGGTTAGAAGAGGCTCCGGCATTCATACCAATGGTTTTCTTTTAGATTTTGGAACGTTTTTAAACCAGTCACTATTAAGCACCTGTAATATTTGATGTGATGTTTTATTATACACAACGAGAAGTTTCCAGTTTTAATCCATTCTGTGCAAAAAATAGCCCATTTTCAAACAGGGTTGCATTAGGCAAGTAACAACAGGCATCAGTGCCTTGGTTGTGAGAAGAGAAGTCAGCAAAGGTTTGTGTTCCTGACTGACTGGTCACAATACAGGAACGGTCACCTTATCCTGCATGGGTTTGCATTTCTGTGGGCACTTGGTGATCAACGGGTAGAGGTGACAGATGCCAATGTGGTAGAATCGTCTAAATATGCGTTGTCAATGTTTAAACGTGAATGGCCATTTGGGCAAAATAACAACAAATGGTACTCCCATCAGAAGGAAAAATGAGCTATTGCCTTTGGAAGAGCGAAGAGCAAATATTGGTCAGGAACACACAGACATGGACACTGAAAGGAATAAATGTGGGGGAAAATGAGGCAAATAAATTAATAAAAAATGGAAAATGTTATAATGGACGCTTGATTGTGTAATCCGTCGTGAGGACCTACTGTAATTAATGCACATTATTTTATATTACTCTTAGAATGTGACCTTTCATAGACGAGCTTTCGTGTGGGTTAAACAGAATAATGATGGGACTTCCCAATCACAATAGCAGTCACTAGCAGTAACATTACATATGATTATCATACTTTTTTGATGATAACAAAATTACCTTTATTACTTTTTCATTTCTAGGTTAAACTCTACTGGTTATATAGCATTGCCCAATCCTTCTCAAGATCACCACAGTACCACATTCACTAATGTGAATGCTAATAGCATCCCTCACCTTCTCCATATCCTACCTAACAATCCCTAGTCTTCCCAAGAAGAACACTCTCCTTTAGTACTACTCTCTGAATTATCTATTGCACCACTTTGAAAGTTGGGAAAGACTTTCAGAAATATAAAGAGTCAAATGAAGTAATGTACTTTCCAAAGTACATTACTGTCCACTATTTCTGCTTATTAATTGATTAACAAATATACATTGAAATTTACATCATTTTGACTGCTGTAAAAGAACTGCAAAAATAATAAATTTGCGGTTGAGATCAATACAAATAAATAATTAGATAACACTAATCTTGTGAGTTCTAAATTGTTAGGTTCTAATAGCTTATATGCACAAAGTGGTTGAATAGGCAATGTAGAGCCTGGTTCTGTCAGGCCCTTTGTACAAATATTTATCGGTCAGTAAAATCATTGCAGCAAAAATAATTACCACCAAACATGGAAAACGCAACCTACAAATTCAAAAAGTTAAGCAAGATGTCACAGTAAAATTATTTAAGGTGTCAGGCTGACTCTTGTCGGTAGAACTAGTTTTTCTGAGTCAGAGGGCTGTCAGTCATGGACCCAAGTAGAGTCTTGGAGCTCATAGTCTACACAGTCTAGGCTGTTGGAAATGCTGCATTGTTGGAGGTGCTGTTCTTCAGAGGAAAAAGTGTGTCTTGCATATTTTCTCACTAAGCCAAGCAATACATTGATCTGACTAGGTTTTGATTCACATCATCAAATTATGTTTGTTAAAAGCTGTCTCCATGAAAACAGTTCCTCAAATAAATAGCAGTGGTGATGATTCATAGTTCAGAGATACTCCCAGCTTAGCAAAACAAGCTATTTTGAAAGAACACAATGCAACTTGTTGTGGAACCCTCTTCCTAAATCCGTCTGCCTGCACCCTCCCTCTTCGCTTTCAAAACAATTCGAAAAACTTAAATCTTTGATTGCACCTTTAGCCATCCCCCCAATCCCCTGTCTCCCACTCTGCTCAGGTTCCAACTACACCTCTGCTTTCAGACATACAACAATGTGAAAGGACCTATATAAGTGCAGGTTCTTGCTGTCTACTTACATATCCCTGAAATAAGTACACTTTAAGACTGTGAAACAAACTTTTGATGTTTTTTTTTAGAACAGGTACAATATTGAAGGAATGATAATTGTCTAATTAAAATAATTTCCAATGAAGGTAAATATGTGTTAACATGTTGTCCTCATTCCTGCTCCCTTCCCCTTATGTGTGTGAAACCAGTTTATATCCAATTTAATAAAAATAATTATTACAAAATAATGTTCCAAATATAGTAATAAGACCAGCCACTGACATTATCTTTGCCATCATTGGAAACCTCAGGAGACAGATTGATAATTCCACTACCCCCCCCCCCCCACCCCATTGTACAGTTAAGTGAGGATCAATTATCAAAGGGGATTACTGCTACTGTACCATTCAGAGAAAATCTGAACATTACAACAAAGTACTGCTATTGAACTCAAGAGCTACTTTGAAGGGACAGAGGAACACACACTTATTGTCAATGGTAATGGCCCTCAACTTACCTGCTGGCAACTGTTCCAAACTCCATGAACACCTCTTTATATAAGAAAGTCAAGAGAAATAAAGTGTTAAATGAAGTCAAACAGACAAAGTGTTTTCAGAATGCTGAAAATATTGTTCAGTATTTACTTTCTCAATTCCATTTGAAATCTTACATACCTCTGTAGAGGTGCCCTCTGAGATGACCGTCTTCCCACTCCTTCCTTTCCTGTCAAGTGCTGAGAGATGTTACTCTATGTGAAGGGCACTATTTAAATGCAAGTTGTTGATGTCGCATTTCAAAGATGCAATATGCAGCAAAATATATTTTATACAAGCTTTTACTTGCATATATTCCTACCTACTGGGAGGAGAGTGTAAGATAAATGGTGAGGCAGGACTTGCTTATATTCCAGGATGATTGATTTTTGTAAACCACAACATGATTTATTCCTTCCCCACCTTCTGGCTCCATGGGCCATAAGATAGTGATACTGTATATCATTAATGTTATTAACTTCAATGCAATATATCGTCGAGGCAAAAGTTAGGTAAGGTTTTGCAATGAACTGTTTACAGTAGTTTCCTAACTGTTGAGTTATCTTGAAACGTCTGGGATTGGGAATAAGGGAGGCTGTGATTGCTCAGCTTTGCTCTAAGTGCAGCAGCTCAGTTGTTCCTTCAAAAGTGTGGGTTTAGATTTCAAAGGATATTAGCCTTGCCTACATTGCTTTAGTTTTGGTTATGCAGCTGGTCTGCTGGAGCTCCAGTCATATTTAACTCTGTTGGACCGCCCTCTTCATCCTTACATAGAAGAAAGTAGTCTCAGAAAAACATTGCTGGGTTGTCACTCACACTGTTAAAAGGAGTAGAGGAGTCAGGGCTGTGGGGCTGGGGCTGGGGCTGGTTCAACTTCAGGGCCAGTTTCTACAATTTCATAAAGTTTGGCTGGGTTAGAACTTCCTGAGAACTAAAGATCTACTTTTGGTAAGTTTTAAGTTTGCATTTCTCTTCTCCCCCCCACACACTTCTTTGCTTTTCTGCTCTCTTCACAGAGATTGCTCTGCATTTGGGTTTCAGTGCTTTCCTCCAACTGAAAATCTGGATCAAACTGTGTTTGTTATTCTGTAAAGTTTCTACTCTGCTTAAGCCAAACCATAGGAATGTGTACTTGTTTGAACGTTTCGTACTTAAAGCTACGATTGGAAATACTTTCTTTTTTTGCTGGTGGTGGTGGGGGGGGGAGTTTACTCATATCTGGAGGAAATAAATTAAAGGTTTTGCTACTGATTGCTTTATGTGCGAGATGGAAATATCACCACTCCCATTTATTTTGTATTGTTGCCAAGAAAACTTCACTCAGGAAACAAGGGGCTGTGTCGATAAAGAAACGTGAAACCTAAATAAGAGCCTTCAGAAAAGACAGTTGTAAATGATCTATCTGGTCATGCTGCTGTACGTTTGAAGGGCAAGAACTTTAAGCATGTTGGACACTGTGGTTTGGATTACCATGGTGTGTGTACAAATCACACCAGGTCTGAATTTAAACTGATGTGATGACACAAGGTCTGTGTCATTCTAAATAATAAAAGACAGCATATATAGGCTGGGTTGCAATGTAGGCAGTAGTATTTCCAGTTGATGGTGAAATGAAGCGATTAGCAATCCACATTTTTAGATTCATTTTTGCTTATTTCAACAAGAAAATTACACATAAATTGTGGAGCAATGGGATCATATTATACGGGAGGAAAGGATGATATGAATTGTGAATCTTTGTCATTTAGATTGCAAACTGCTTGAAATTTGAATTGCTATTTGTCAAACATTTCATCTAAATCCGTTGAAAAAGTGTAGTAATATCCACATTGCAATAACAATGTAATCACTATTTAGCTTAGAGTCTGTGGTTACTTAAATGTATTGCATATGCTTCGTCAGAAAAAAGGTTTTTAAGACTGAACAAGGTTCATGTGTGAAGTGAGAAAAAATGAACTTAATTAATTGGCCCATTTCTGTTAACATTACAATTATTTGAAAAGAAGCGTTTAAAAATAATCAATCCTAGGAATTATGCAGGTACGTTTTCTTTAAAACCGGTTCAGTTCCACACAGAAACCCCACAGATTTCCTGCAAATGAAAATATATTTTAGACGTGCTATTTATTTTTGTCAAGTTCAAAATAATGGGATTCTGGAATTCCAACCCAGAATCCTCCTGAGGCAAATCACTGTGCTAACCTACTTGAATCACGAAAGCTTCACAATAATAATAATAATCCTTACATTTGATATAGCGCTTTTCACGTCGGGAGGACGTCCCAAAGCACTTCACAGAACACACTGTAAATTGAATTGACTGTATATTTGTGGGCGAACGCGGCAGCCAATTGCGCACAGCAGTGTCCCACAGTCATGAATTGAAAATGACCAATTTATTATTGTTTTGGGTTTTGGAGGGATTATTATTAGGTGTGTGGAGTAAGGAAACTTTCCCAAGGTTTCGCCCTGACCTGCCTGGAATTGAACTCAGGTCTCTCGCTTGCAAAGCGAGTGCTCTAACCACTGAGCTACAGGACTCCACAAACTAGTGTTGAAAGTAAATAAATGATTAAAACTTTTTCGCAAAAGTCAAACGTTGTTGTGGTTAATATTACATTGCAGCATCAACTTAATAAAACAAGGATACCTTGAAAATTTAAATTGTAAAATAATTTTGCATGACTTTACATATCCGAAGCTCCCACAGAAAAATCCAGGCGTAGAGAACTCTTTTGGAAAAAAATGGAAAACCTTCAATCAGTATTTGCAGTACAGTTCTGAGCTCACAAATGAGTTGTTGAAAGCAACGTTTCAGTTACAGCTTAGGTAATGCACAAATAGCTCATTTACCAGTTTGCCAAAACGTGTTACTGTACAAGTTTCACGTGGTTTACATCTTTCACACATATTAGTGAATGGAAATCATGAATAAACTGCACAAGGGGCAGCCAGCTCTCGGTCAAGGCTGCACGAGGAGGTTGAATTGCCCACAGTTTTTCCAGGGTTAGGTTGTTTTTGGGGAGTGGGGGAAACACTCAGGATTCCTGCTTCTGGTCCCTCTACAGCATCCTCTGCTGATTTTTGCATGTGGATGACAGCTGGGTGGGGCGAGATCAGTCTCACCTGTGATGCCCATCCCAGTCAAATGACTTTCGACACTCACTGCCATGGCTCACACATGAGCAATGTCCCCTTAGGCGTGGTACTGTAGGCAGACAGGGTCTGTGCATCCACACCCTAGCAAAAGCAGATCAGATGAGGAGCAGAGAGACATATGCCACTTGGGAGAAAACCAGAAAAATAATTATACACTTTTTAAAAAAGAATAAACTGCTTGAGACACGAATTATTATTTGGGGGGAATTTAATGCAGTTATAGTGCATAAGCTGAACAGCAAAGTTTGAGTTTTTCCCATCTTTCAGGCTATCTTTTTAAAGCTCCTCAGGCTAATCGTTGTTTTTTTTGTCTAAGGCTGTTTAAAAGTAAATGTTTTATTGCACTGATGAGGATGTTTCAATGTTCTTTTGTCAATGGAACGAGGGTGATTTATTATGTGAAACACATGGACAAAAGCAACTTATTTTACAATCGTTATTTACTGTAGCTAATTCGTAGGATATGTCCCATTTCTAGTCTTCCATATGCACAGTGTGGTGTAAACTAGTCAAATACATGAATCGAGTCTTTTATAAGGAATTGTTTAACTCAAAATAGTAATGGATGCTTTGCAACATTTCCCATCCCCAGTGTGGTACAAAGTTTGTAATTTGGTGCCAAAGAAGTCTTGGCAATGAACATTTTGTATTGTTTGCTCGAATGTTAAGTTTCCAGGGATACTACACTCTTCTTGTAATATTGTTTCCGGCCTTGTTATTTTCTCCTGAAAGCGACAGTATTGATTCCATGTAAAACAACAGTATATCAAAGCTACAAATATAAACAAACAAAGGAGGTGTCATTTAGTATGTGAGAAGCATAAGATAATATTTTGACAACTGAGTGCAAAAAATATTCTCACACATTAACTATTCTCACTTAAGTCGACAGGACTGATGTTGTTCTCGACATAGATCTCCGATAGTCAGCTCTTTGCATTTATTGGAATGTATCTGATGGTACACAGTTGTAATACTTTACTGCTTTGTATAGGTTTTGGTCACAGAGTGAACTGACTTATAGCACAGTACAGAGCTGCAAGGCTCATATATAGTTAACAGAATAAAGCTTAAGTCTGCCTGTTTGCTGCTGCCTTTGCCAATCGACAGTGTAGTTCTGGCAAATGATCTTAGTGTTGCGAAAGCTCCTTCGGGATTTGAGTCCTGCCTCTGATTTTGACAGCTTAAGCTTTGTATATAATGTGATCCAGATGTATGAATACTAGCTAAGCTGTGGTCCTGGCTGGGGTATTCTATTTTATCAGCAAAATGTGAGCTTTTTCTGTCGTTGTTACAAGCAGCAAGAAGTTTTAATATTTTACAATGCAATGTTACAACAGACAATATTATGCAGTATTACCAAACATTTGGCATATTATTATTGTTTGCTTGAATGTTCAGTTTCCAGGGATACTGCACTCTTTTTGTTATATGCAGAATTGCTTATTCGCCTTGCTATTTTCTTTTACTTTTAATATTATAGGCAATTTAATTTTCAGTTCAAGACAACATGAAGGTAAATAAGGATATCCAGTGGCTGGAACAAATATGTGTAAATTGGAACACTGAGACACAGGCACCAAATTACTTCAAAAAGGGTAGCTTTTCTAATGAAGTGAAATTTAATTAAAACATGTAGTGTTGAGGGTTTTACATCTACGGCTTAATAACAAATAATTAAAGCTGCACTGAGTAATTGAATTATAATTGAATGAACATTTTAAATCAACACAGCAATTAGCTAAAAGGTCCTGTTGAGCTTGCAATTTACAGGCATTGTTCAGTACTGTGCATAAAATTGATTTAGTTGGAATTCAGGGACACAGAAGAATCTTGATTCAATGACAACAAAATAAACACATCTGCATTTTGCTTTGGTTGGTTAGTTGGTTAGTTTGATGTGTACAGGCTGTAAGGGTCTCCTGAATGAAGTTGGGTTGTTTATCAGCAATTTAACCTTGTGCTCACTCTTTTCCTCTAATATATCAACATGAAACTAAATAAGCCTAGCTTCTGTACATTTAATCGTTTCAGTAACTGACTAAATTGGGAAAATAATCCGAGATTAATTGATTAATTTCCACATTTTTAATGAAAATATTTTAAAAAATCATCAATATGTCTGTAGAGTTGATTCCTACAATAGTGCTCTCCTTCAAATACATTGTCACTACATTTCACAGTAAATCCTGTGCATCACTTGAGATATTTCAACAATGTGATAAAAATTGCTACATGAAATATAAGACTTATTATTCTAAATATACTAATTCCAGTAACAAAGATAGTGAAAAGCGCTATATCAAATGCAAGGATTATTATTATTATTATTATTATTATTCTAATAATCCAAGTATAGATTCTCACTGTAGTTAACCATCCACCATTCACTCACATGTGAAAATCTCAATCTGAGTAACACATTTAAATACAGTATTATGATTCCAGCATAAAATGTCCCCAATGATTCAGTCTTTGAAGAGGTACTGTCGTGAAAAAGTGGTTGAAATCCTTTTACATTTGAAGTGGAAGCAGCCATAGAAAGGCCAATTAACATCTACATAATAATAATGATGGTGCTTCAAGTGACACATTTCATTACATCTTGTTTTCAGATCCATGAAGACAGTGCCATCAATCAGTGGCACAATAAATACAAGGAAGTGTCAGTTTGATTTTCATTTAAAGACAAACAGTTTAAAAGTTGAGTGGCAGCATATTTTAAACATGTGTTTCTATTGTTTCGATTGAATTTCGGACTTGAGTGTTTAAATGGGCACATTGTATAGATTTGCAAATTGACTATTTTCACCTGCAGTTTAGAGTTTATATTCCAAGTCATGATCAAATAATAAAATTCCCTGGAAAATGTTTTAGATTTATCAGAATTCAACTGCAGTATACATGTATTCCTATAAATTTCTAATGTGTTTAACATGGTCTTTTTTTAGAAGTGACACATTGCAGGCAAAAATAATTCATTATTTTATTTTGCAGATAATCTACAATGCTATATTTGCTTAAAATGCTTAAAAATATATTATTAAGTTTGTTTTCCAGTTAAAGATGAAAGAACTTTTCTTCAAGATAACAATTCCTCTTATTGCACAGCCAACTGTTTTTAATTAGTGGCTGAAACTCAATACGAACTTGACCAGGCTCTACCACTGTTAAGCACTCTGAGACGCTACCCTGCATGGAGGGCGTTATATAAGTCCAAGTAGATGTTGTTGACCAGGGCAAATTCTGATGTTCACAATGCTACGGATTCCTGCACTATTCCTGTGTTGGATGCATGGAACAGCATTCAGTCTACGGGAACACATGGAAGAAAATACACCTCATAGCCACAACAGTTTACTTCAACAGACAAATATTAGAAAAATTTCCCGATATCAATCAGGAGAGAGTTAAATATGCCTCATCTGACCCTCGGTAGCCTCAGAAGCAGCGAAAATATGCACCATTCTAAATACCATATTTCTGAGTATCACGTGTTTATACGTAGCAGTAGAAATCTTTAATATGTTTCACTAACGATGCCTGACATAGAGTCAGTGTCCTTGATTATACCATGTGACATGCACAAACTGATAATTATTTTTAGTTTGGAACGCTATATGCCTGCTTACTCTTTCGCTTGGAAGAGTCGGCTATTTACCGCAACTTGCTCACGGGATTCATGTCAGTTATCCAACACACTGGATTGAATTAGTAAATTAAGTGTACAGCAGCATGTTGTTGAAAATTTCTCAAAGAAATCTTTTATCTGTGCAATAATGGTGCCATTGTGTATTTGTATTTGGAATTGTTTCATTAGTCAAAAGGGTTCGTATGGAAATTGAATTTTAAGCACTTTCTATTAAGAACGATTTATTTCAAAGCATTTGCTCTTTTGCACTACACAAAGTGACTTTTTGTGAGGTACCTGCAGTTGGTAATGCGGATAGTTGGTGGATAGTTGTATTGCTTCATAGAATGGTAAGATCTAAGTCTGTATCTATAGATGGTTCATTTCCAGTAGTTGTGTCAATAACAAGCACAGATGTGAACCAGAAGTTCTTTCTCTCAAGATGGAAGGAAGGGGATCAAGGAGCAAAGATATACCAGGCCTATACCATGCAGACCATAAGGTTGAGGGTATGAGTGCCAGTCTCTGTTGAATTGACTGATTTCAGCCTTAAGAATAAAACGTGTCTTAAGAATCTAAGAAAATGTAAAATTGGAAAAAGCCAATTGATCTACTAAATCCACTCCTTCCTTAGGCTATGTATATTCTGCCCTGTAACAAATTTCACTCCCACCATTTAATTTTCTAGGACAATACTGTATAGTAATCTGGTAAAATTGCACAATATTCATTCCATATCTACAGTCTAGGCCAAACCCTATTATTCTAAATAGTTATACCAAAAGTTCTCCAGATTTGACATTTTATTCATATTGCGCTATACAATGTTGAGCTGTCCAAGATAGGCTTCAATTAAGCACATATGATGCTTTATCTTGAACGTTTCTAAATTGGCCACATGGCCTTTCAACAGGGTTTGGTACGGCAACTGCACACAGTGGCACGCTGAACAAGATAGACAATAAAAGGGTTTTAGAATTCCACAATTCAAGTGATGTTGTACTTTCAATAACAGGCACATCATGAGCCAGGTAGATATCAAAATCACACTTGAATTCTTCTTTATCACAAAGGTAGATGTGCAGAATATTCTTGTAGTTGCTAGCATTCCATCACTTCTGAGTCTTGGCCAATGGATCAAATATTCTGCAATTGGCAAAGAAAGAATTTGGTTCAGAGTTCCTCCGGGAACATTACACGCTATGATTACCCTTAGACTGTTGATGCAGATGGCAGTGATAGGCTTTTGAAGTTCTTCATTGAGTTCCGCTTCCTTTGTAGCATTTTATAGTCAGCTGCAATTTGGAGGTTACAGTTAACCAGTGTCTCAATGAGATGCATCAGGAAGTGCTATTGGTTCCATCTGAAACTTTACCTAGTGTTTTTCCCTCAGAATTACGCAGAGAAAGGATAATATGTTGACGCAGCTCTTCCCTTTCATCGGCTTTGACAATCTGACATAGTTTCTTTGTCTTTCTTGTTCAACAAGGATCTGTAACACTGCCCAATAATCATGGCTGAGTTTTGCTGCTTCAAGCCAAATTTTGAAATCTACTTGTGAACCAGAATTAATGTTTCATTGTTCTGCTGGTAGATAAGCTATGGAAATGAAAGATTTACTTCTAAAGGTGATACTTTCTAACATTTTTCAACTTTCCCATCAAATGTTGTAAAAGGGGCAATAAATTCAGGATTGAAAGGTTACAGCGTTTTTATCATAAAAATAGTTGGGAGGGTGAGAGAGTTATAAAGCTGTAACCTGATCAAAAGGAGGAATGGTTGGATGACATTATATAAACTATAAAATGTTTCTGAGCATTATCGTTCAGTGTTTAAAAATCAGTTTTCCAGCCAAGTTCTCAAACACAAATAATTACGACTAATGTCAATTTTGTTCTGATTTTCAGTTAATTATTTAAAACGTTCCAGCTTTAAAAGATATGACTTATTATCTCATCAAACATTGGGAGTTATTGAGCCAAAAAGCGTATGGGAGGTGCTTCACATCAACTGCAATGGAAGAGTAATTCATCCAGAAATGTTTCAACAATTCTGTAATTTCAGATTTGGAAGTTAATGATGGGCCCTCGTACAGTTAGATAGAGTGCTAATTCCACCAAGTCCAACCAAAATCAGGATTACATGTCAAATACAGAAAGATATTAGGCATTTTTGATACAATAGCTAAGAACGGCATGATTATGGGATACCAATAAGGATATCATAAGGTTGCGTTTTGTGATACTTTACTGAATTATTTACTGTATTTATAACAACCTTCAGTTGTTGGAGCCACTTCATGAAACCATGAACCTTCCACCAGTTGAAATCAATCCAGCTTTGACGTGATACAATCTTATGTGATGCTAGAATTAGATTTGAATTGTTTTTCCACCTTGCCTCTGCAACCTATTAAAACTTCACCAACCCGTCTGTCTGTTCCACGTCCCCGCCCTGCCTGCTTCACTATCAGTGGTCAGGTTTTCAGCCTTTCTGCCCCCACCCACTGGAACTCCATCCCGGCAGCCCACCGCCTCGTCTCCTCCCTTGCCTCCTTCAAAACCCATCTCAGGACCCTCCTTTTCGTCTGTACCTTCGGTCATTTTCCCTCCTCCACCCCTTGCCCTCCACCCCTCTCTAATTGCTGAATAAGGCTCTTCGGCTTATTTCATCATATCTTTCCAGAGTATCCACCTGACTGTTCTGCTGTTTTGTGAATGAATCTGGCCTCCTACGCCCTTACTGTTCCAATCATTAATTATGCAGTGTGTAAAGAAATACTTCTTGGTGCCTGTTCTGAAATTGTTCTTTGCAGTCCTAAACTTTGCCATCGTGCTATTGCGAAGAAAGACTATTCCCATAAAGATAGCGTACGCAGGTAGAACTTGTCTTATTTTCTGAGGGAAGGTACCATGACAACTAGCGCACATAGAATGTGGCTGGGAAAATAATTCAGACTGAAGCATTCATTGGGATCTGATGCCCTGTGGACATGAAATGTGAGATTTAAGAAAATCTGGCTTAGAAGAGTTTGTTAGGGCTTGTTCAGCGCCCTGGGATATTCTCCCAACGTAAAAGGCACTATGCAAATGTAATCTTGTTGTTGTTGTTTAATATGGATAGACATTAAGATTCTGAAGACTATCTTAACTTTACGTTTTAAGTATTGCAGTAGTTTTATTGTTATTTCTTGCTATTAAGCAGTTTTTTTCCCCTATAGGATCTGTCCAGTGTCTGAAAGACGCCGAGACAGAAGATGGAGATGATGGTTCTGTAAGTAATCATTTATGAAATTATTAGCTATTCAACTGTAGGTATGAAATAGTTCTAAGATTCAGTCTTTTCGATATATATTAGTTTGGCACTGCACATGAGAGTGTAAAGATTTTAAAAATGAATAATAATAATTTTTTTATTATCAATCACATAATTTGAATGTATCCCATTTCTTTAAACGCTAGCAATTTGCATAACAGTGCTTATATTACACTCTACCCAATTGTATTCTTTCTATTGTGGGAAATGTTTAACTTTTTCATGAAAAGGTCTTGATCTTAATACGGTAATAAAAAATGGCCAGTATGCAGCCAGAGAAAATGAAACAAACTTTTATAATTATTATTTTAATCAGATGACATTATATTGCAAAATATAAAAAGCCTTCTTAAAATTCTGAAAACTCGATTTAAATGCTACATTTTAGGATCAAAATATTCACCAACCAGATTCATTGTGTTAATGCAAGTCCGTGGCCCACAAGTCGAATTCGATGAGCAAAATATGAGTGGGAAACAGCTAGTGTTTTGTTCACTGTTTTTTTTCCTACTTGGGATTCACAATTGATTGGCCACAAATTTCACAATCCGATAATAGGAAGTAATGCAATGGAACTGTTTTGTGAATGTTGCATTTTAGTCCTCGAGACAAAATGGTCTTTTGTTAAAAATTCACAATTTTTTAAATATATCTAGGCCAGTTCATTTTATTTAAGATTTCCTTTATTTTTATGATATGACATTTGCAATGCTCTCTTTCTAGGTATGTGAACTGCCAACTGAATTTGTAGAAACTGTTAGACCAAGGCCACAAGGGTCTTCACCGGTATATGACTACTCATTAACAGAGGAAATCAGAGGCAGAGGCAAAAAGGTACGTAGATTAAAAGTTCAAATAATAACAAAATGGACTAATTATCAGCATGGTAATTGAAATTCTGCTGTGTGTGCTAAATTATTCTTCAGCAACTAACAGCTCACTTATCAGTGACTGCCAGACAATAATCATACCAAATCTGAGCAGCAAAATTGGAAGCTGCTAAAGCCAGGCACGCGGTAATATATGTTTATGTATCCAAGATAATTTAGCAGATTCAGCAACAGCAGATCAATAAGCAGTCCAGTAGTTATTAAAAGTGCTGAGTGAACTGGACATTTTCGGTTCAGAGATACAGTAAAACTCGACAGGTCATCTCTTTATGAATCGTACAATCGCCTAAGTCGTGCATGCACTTGTGTCCCATTCAGTTACCTACCAAAAGAGGCTTATATCTCTTTGCACCAGTTGTATTTTGCAATTGGAATAAACATCCAAATTATAAACATTTTTTGGTTCCAAATAATGCTAAATCCTGCAAATCATTTTGTAACTTGTAATGCCGCTATTGCATTTACCGGCTGCATTGAAGTACAGCAGGCGCAGTGTTCAGCTTGAAACAAAGGCGGAAAATGAAACATTTGCCTAATTTAAGCCCTATTTATAATGCACTTCTACAGTTCATTGGTTTGATATTAAAAGTATGGTACAAATCCAGTTTTAAGAACATCAATTTGATTTTACTTCCAAAACTATCTCAATACAGTGAGACACAGTACAACTCCAGTTACATTGCAGCCAATTCCAATAAACTTTTAAACTTGTGTGGTCCATTCTTGAGAGGTTTGGTCACAAGCTAATCCCTTAAGCGTTAAACAAATTGGCATATTTTAGTTGTGGTATCAAACAATACAGATACAACTAAACTCAAGATAGTGACAAGAACATTGTACTTGTTTACTGTATTTGTTACGTGTTAGTCATATAAAATCCTACTTATACATAACTTTAGAATGCTTAAGGGTTCATCTTGTGACCAAACCTCACAAATATAGACCACCCAATGTTTAAATGTTTATTGGAATGTAACTGGAGTTGTACTGTGACTTATTGTATTGAGGAAGTTTTGGAAGTAAAATCAAATTAGTGTCCTTAAAACTGGATTTGTACCATACTTGTAATATCAAACATTGCATTAAATAGACTCTAGAAATGCTTTATAAATCAGGTATAATTTAGAGAATTTTTTAACTATTTGATTTGTGTATGTCAAAGTAGTTCATCAAAACATCTATGGACTATTTAAAACCTCTCATCCTAACATCATATACTGCAATTTACAGAATACTCTTTATGAACGATTTGAAGATTCTCTCAGTGTAGTTACATAATTCTCTTCAGTAGGTGCCAGAAGAGAGACTGCAAGAGGGATTTCAGGAATTTACTTACTGCAAAAAAGAAAAATTTAAAAGAGGGTTAGAAAACGTAACGAAGAAAGTTACCTGCAAGCATAAGTCATGAAGTGGTGGGTTTAAATGATGTCTCACTTTTGATTGCTCTATAACGTTTACAACAACAACAAGATTCCATTTATAGAGCGCCTTTCACGTCGGGAGGACGTCCCAAAGCGCTGGACAAGTAAGTTTATGCAGATTGGAAACAAATGCATGAAATGGTAAAACACAAAAAAAATTGATACACACCTTGAGCTCAATTTACAATCTTTTCTACACTTCTTTCCAGAGAGAAATGGAAACCGACATGGAAGTGATTCTGAAAACAGAAGCTGAAGTAGGTGCAGGTGGATTCAGTGTTAAGGGTGGAGAGAATAAGGGTATATTTATCAAGAATGTACAAAAAGAATCTCCTGCCGCAAAGCTGTTAAGCATGAGAGAAGGTAAGACATTAAATATTCCCTCCCGCTGGTTTACTTGAAAAAGTCTTAAAAATGTAAAACTAGAAGACTGAGAGCGCCCCCTATAGTTCCGTTCGTAAATGAATCATTCAGTGTAAGGATTGACCTAAATACTAATTATTATAATTGTTATTGAAAAGGCCCTTCAGCCAATCTGATCTCATTCCTCCAGAATACCTAATCTCCCATCACAGCATCGAGCTTCTTACATTATGGAATCCTTCCAAGTCGGGATGACCCAGAAATGGGTGATTAAGAATTGATCGTCGATCAGGGAGTGACTTAGACACAGGAACAGGAGTAGGCCATTCAGCCCCTCGAGCATGTGCCACCATTCTATAAGATCATGACTGATCTGTACCTTATCTCCAATTAGTCACCATTGCACATGACACATTCACAGTCAAATTCACAATTGCTCCTCATATAGTGTTTTATGGATCCCGGCTATAGTTAAAACTGATATATTAAATGTATTATACTTGATGGCATCTGAATTAAAGAAGCTCATCATAAATATTTAAAACTGACCAGTAAAAAAACAAATTCTTTTATTTTTTCATCAGGTGATCAGCTTATCAGTGCGACAGTTTATTTTGATAACATGAAATTTGAAGATGCTCTCAAGATTTTGCAGTACTCCGAGCCGTACAAGATACAGTACTGCCTGAAGCGAAAGATCCCCAGTGCTGCAGCTGCCGCAATAGGACCTGAGCAAGTTGATATAAAAGAATTCAAATCGATTGTGGTAGGTTTACTTTCCAGGAAAAGCATTCAATGTCTGCACTGAGCTAACTTAAGGAACATCTTGATTGCTGTAATAGGAAGAAGGTAATGGACAAATGAGATCAAATAAAGCAAAGGGTTCTCTTCATCCAAATCTCTCTTATGGTCTTGTAATCTCCAGACCCTGCTTACCTCTTCCCTCCCCAATTTTTTAGACAATGTGCTCATTTTACAAACCTCTCTGAGTGTACTCAGCGGGTGGCAAACCCAGAATTGTTCTATCCCATTTTTTTTACACAACTGTATGAGCTACCTGGGATATTCTCACACCTTGCAATAATAATCACTCTTGCACTTGCCAAAACACTTGACTTATCTCGTGAAAACACCTTAAATCACTTCACAGACTTGTTTGAATAGTATACTGACTAACTGTTCATAGGCAAATGCAGCAGCCAACTTAGACACTGCAATGCCCCACAGACAATCTGGAAGTGAATGATCAATTTTTTATGGGAGCGAGAAACTCCCTTTTCTTTTCGAATAGTACCGGAGGAGCTTTAATGTTTATCTTCACAGGCAGACAGAATTTTAGTTTATCATCTCATTCAAAGGACATGATCTCTGACAATGCAGCACTCCATTTAAGAATATATCAAATGCTATATTATTATTATTAGGAAACAAGCTCAAAGTTCCATTGTTGGGCTTGAACCCAAATTCATTGACAAGAGTGCTACTAATTGAGCCAGGCTGACACATATATTGTAGCACATATTGATATGCAATATTGCACAAAAACTACTGTTACATTAGTTGTTAGCAACAGTTGAACACATCTTTATAAGATATAGTTTCTTCTCAAAACATGAACTGATGAAATAATACTCTGTATTTTTTCATAGGGAGAAAAAGAAGACATTTTTACAGACCTATACCAGAAGAAAACAAAACTGGTTGATTCCGAAGAAATGAAAATACACAGAGAAACACAACGTCAGGAAATGGGTAACAAGGGCACGACGAAAACAGCTAAGGTATCAGACATAACATTTTCTGGCTCCACATTCCCAGACAGCAGAAAAACAAAGATGGACAAATTAGACAGATCTCACAGTTTACCAGAAGCAGAAGAGTATGATCAGCGGGTAATCACTGCAACAAGCACAGATATAGAATCCTGTTTAAAATTGCCAGAATCACCCCAAAAAGTAAAGAAACGAAGAAAAAAAATAAAATTTCCACATCTTGGTCCAAGTACAAAGGCAGAGGTCCCTGAAGACACACAAATGGTTTCCACAGACAGCACAGAATTTTCAACAGCAAAACAAGGCAGTGCAAAAATAATTGTAGATGTTACATTACAGAACACAAAAGATGACAAAATAATGACAGGAGTCAAACCAACTGAGCAAAAGCCCAAAGATGAAAAACAAGAGACAAATCTGGACCTAGAAACAAAATACAAAATGCCAAAGCTCAAAATAGCCAAATTTTTGCTGTCGGAAACAATTTCTCCCAAAGATGATATCACCATTACATTACCACAGGAAACAACATCACACTCACTCTCACCACAAGACCAGGAGAGTGAAACAATCCAAATTTCACAACCAAAGGCAGAGGGTGACAAAAGACAAAATGTATCCCTTAAAGCTTCTGAACAACTGAAAGCCAGACCGTACGTTTCAACAGTGCAGACAACAATACCGAGTGAACACAAAGACAAAGCAGGCTCTTCAATACTTGGCTACACCGTACAAATGGAACACCAAAGCACCAATATGCCAACCAATGTCATATTACAATCATTTCAAGGTAATGAAACAGATATAATCATGAAACAGCCAGATATTAACATTCCACTTAAAAGTACTGAAACAGAAATCAAAGGATCCCAAGTACACATCCAGGTATCTCCATCCAAAGGTGCCGTTGGGACAATTCAAGATGTGCGAAAAAAACCCAAGTTGAAGACAGTGAAGAAAATTAAAAAGACTGCACCTGATGAGATGGCTCAAAATGTTGACATTTCTTATCCACCAGATGATGCCTCTAAAGTCGATACAGAAACAGTGATGCTGACTGGTGAATTCAGCGCTGGGGTTGTTCAGGTGCAAAACCCTGATGCTTCCTTAAAAATAGATAAGGTAAAAGTGCCATCATTGGATGTGACTCTGCCCCAAATAAGACATGAGAACCTTAGCCCCACAAAATCCCAAATTGAAGTAACTCTACCTGCTGCATCAATGCAGATCAAAGGTCCAGAGACTGAAATTCATCCACCAACAATGGAAGTAGGGATTGGTTCCACAAAAAACATTGCAGGTGCAGATGGAAAGTTTAAAATGCCAAAGGTAAAAATACCACATTTTGGGTTGTCAATGCCAAAATTTAAAGGCACTGAAGAAGACGTTGGTTCAAAAAAGGCAGACAGTGAGACTACAATTACAAAATCAAAACTAGGTATGAAGGGTCCTGAAATGGACACAGAAATACCATCCTTTGAAATAGACATGGAGATTTCAGAAGCTAAGATTGGTGGAAAAAAAGGCAAATACAAACTACCCCACAATAAAGGTCCCAAAATTGGATTTTCCGCATCTCCCAAATTGAAACTTGAGGATAATGTGCCAAAAGGTGATGTGGATGCGAGTAAAAAGCTGAAAGGTGAAATTGATGTGGATGTAAGCCTTAGTAAACCCAAAGTTGACGTAACCCTACCTGATGTGTCAGCAGATATCAAAGTTCCAGACGCTGAAATCAACATACCAACAAAAGAAATAAACATTGAAGGCCCAGATGGCAAGTTCAATATGCCAACAGTAAAGATGCCATATTTTGGGATTTCAATGCCAAAATTTAAAGGCCCTGAAGTTGACATTGGTCTGAAAAAAACAGACATTGACATTCAACTGCCCAAAGCTGAAGGACACATCAAGGGACCTGAGATTGATATCCACGCACCAACAGTGGATCTTGATACTGGTTCAGCAGAAATGAACATCGAAGGTCCAGATGGCAAGTTTAAAATGCCAAAGGTTAAAAAGCCAGATTTTGGGATGTCAATGCCGAAATTCAAAGGTCCTGAAGTGGATCTAAGCCTAAAAAAGCCAGACATTGACTTTACACTGCCCAAAGCAAAAGCAGACATCAAAGAACCTGAGATTGATGTACAAATATCGTCGTGTGAAGTAGATGTAGAGGTTCCTGATGTAGACGTTGGAGGAGGAAAAGGAAAATTCAAAATGCCCCACATGAAGATGCCCAAATTTGGATTTTCTGCACCTGAAATAAAAGCTCCCGAATTGGATCTTGATATGAGTTTGCCCAAGGTGAAAGGTGAAATTGATGCAGATGTAAGCCTTAGTAAACCTAAAGTTGACGTAACTGTACCTGATGTATCAGCGCACATCAAAGGTCCCAAGGCTGACATCAACATACCAACGATGGATGTGGAGGCAGGTTCATCAGAAATAAACATTGAAGGCCCAGATGGCAGGTTCAAGTTGCCAACAGTAAAAATGCCACATTTTGGGATTTCAAAACCAAAATTTAAAGGCCCTGAAGTGGATCTCAGTCTGAAAAAGCCAGACATTGACCTTACATTGCCCAAAGCAAAAGCAGACATCAAGGGACCTGAGATTGATGTACAAGTACCGTTGTGTGAAGCAAAGGTAGAGGTTCCTGATGTTGACATTGAAGGAAGAAAAGGAAAATTCAAAATGCCCCACATGAAGATGCCCAAATTTGGAATTTCTGCACCTGATATAAAAGCTCCCAAATTGGATCTTGATGTAAGTCTCCCCAAGGTGAAAGGTGAAATTGATGCAGACGTAAGCCTTCGTAAGCCCAAAGTTGATGTAACCGTACCAGATGTATCAGCAGACATCAAAGGTCCCAAGGCTGACATCAACATACCAACGATGGATGTGGAGGCAGGTTCAGCAGAAATAAACATTGAAGGTCCAGATGGCAAGTTCAAGTTGCCAACAGTAAAAATGCCACATTTTGGGATTTCAAAGCCAAAATGTAAAGGCCCCGATGTGGATCTCAGTCTGAAAAAGCCGGACATTGACATTAAATTGCCCAAAGCAAAAGCAGACATCAAGGGAACTGAGATTGATGTACAAGTACCGTTGTGTGAAGCAAATGTAGAGGCTCCTGATGTTGACATTGGAGGAAGAAAAGGAAAATTCAAAATGCCCCACATGAAGATGCCGAAATTTGGAATTTCTGCTCCTGATTTAGAAGCTCCCAAATGGGATCTTGATGTGAGTTTGCCAAAAGGTGACGTGGAAGTGAGTTTGCCCACTGTGAAAGGTGAAATTGATACAGATGTAAACCTTAGTAAACCCAAAGTTGACGTAACACTACCTGATGTTTCAGTGGACATCAAAGCTCCCAAGGCTGATGTCCAAATACCAACGATGGAATTGGAAGCAGGTTCAGCAGAAATAAACATTGAAGGTCCAGATGGCAAGTTCAAGTTGCCAACAGTAAAAATGCCACATTTTGGGTTCTCAATGACGAAATTCAAAGGCCCTGAAGTGGATCTGAGTCTGAAAAAGCCAGACATTGACCTTGCACTTCCTGAAACAAAAGCAGACATCAAGGGACATGAGATTAATGTACAAGTACCGTTGTGTGAAGCAAGTGTAGAGGCTCCTGATGTAAACATTGGAGGGGGAAAAGGAAAATTCAAAATGCCCCACATGAAGATGCCCAAATTTGGAATTTCTGCACCTGATATAAAAGCTCCCAAATTGGATCTTGATGGTCGTCTCCCCAAGGTGAAAGGTGAAATTGATGCAAACGTAAGCCTTCGTAAGCCCAAAGTTGATGTAACCGTACCAGATGTATCAGCAGACATCAAAGGGCCCAAGGCTGACATCAACATACCACCGATGGATGTGGAGGCAGGTTCAGCAGAAATAAACATTGAAGGTCCAGATGGCAAATTCAAGTTGCCAACAGTAAAAATGCCACATTTTGGGATTTCAAAGCCAAAATTTAAAGGCACCGATGTGGATCTCAGTCTGAAAAAGCCGGACATTGACCTTAAATTGCCCAAAGCAAAAGCAGACATCAAGGGAACTGAGATTGATGTACAAGTACCGTTGTGTGAAGCAAATGTAGAGGCTCCTGATGTTGACATTGGAGGAAGAAAAGGAAAATTCAAAACGCCCCACATGAAGATACCGAAATTTGGAATTTCTGCTCCTGATTTAGAAGCTCCCAAATGGGATCTTGATGTGAGTTTGCCAAAAGGTGATGTGGAAGTGAGTTTGCCCACTGTGAAAGGTGAAATTGATACAGATATAAACCTTAGTAAACCCAAAGTTGACGTAACACTACCTGATGTTTCAGTGGACTTCAAAGCTCCCAAGGCTGATGTCCAAATACCAACAATGGAATTGGAAGCAGGTTCAGCAGAAATAAACATTGAAGGTCCAGATGGCAAGTTCAAGTTGCCAACAGTAAAAATGCCACATTTTGGGATGTCAATCCCGAAACTCGAAGGCCCTGAAGTGGATCTCAGTCTGAAAAAGCCGGACATTGACCTTAAATTGCCCAAAGCAAAAGCAGACATCAAGGGACCTGAGATTGATGTACAAGTACCGTTGTGTGAAGCAAAGGTAGAGGTTCCTGATGTTGACATTGGAGAGGGAAAAGGCAAATTCAAAATGCCCCACATGAAGGTGCCCAAATTTGGAATTTCTGCACCTGATATAAAAGCTCCCAAATTGGATCTTGATGTAAGTCTCCCCAAGGTGAAAGGTGAAATTGATGCAGACGTAAGCCTTCGTAAGCCCAAAGTTGATGTAACCGTACCAGATGTATCAGCAGACATCAAAGGTCCCAAGGCTGACATCAACATACCAACGATGGATGTGGAGGCAGGTTCAGCAGAAATAAACATTGAAGGTCCAGATGGCAAGTTCAAGTTGCCAACAGTAAAAATGCCACATTTTGGGATTTCAAAGCCAAAATGTAAAGGCCCCGATGTGGATCTCAGTCTGAAAAAGCCGGACATTGACCTTAAATTGCCCAAAGCAAAAGCAGACATCAAGGGACCTGAGATTGATTTACAATTACCTTCATGTCCAGTAGTTGTAGAGGCTCCTGATGTAGACATTGGAGGGGGAAAAGGAAAATTCAAAATGCCCCACATGAAGATGCCGAAATTTGGAATTTCTGCTCCTGATTTAGAAGCTCCCAAATGGGATCTTGATGTGAGTTTGCCAAAAGGTAATGTGGAAGTGAGTTTGCCCACTGTGAAAGGTGAAATTGATACAGATGTAAACCTTAGTAAACCCAAAGTTGACGTAACATTACCTGATGTTTCAGTGGACATTAAAGCTCCCAAGGCTGATGTCCAAATACCAACGATGGAATTGGAAGCAGGTTCAGCAGAAATAAACATTGAAGGTCCAGATGGCAAGTTCAAGTTGCCAACAGTAAAAATGCCACATTTTGGGTTCTCAATGACGAAATTCAAAGGCCCTGAAGTGGATCTGAGTCTGAAAAAGCCAGACATTGACCTTGCACTTCCTGAAACAAAAGCAGACATCAAGGGACCTGAGATTAATGTACAATTACCTTCATGTGCAGTAGGTGTAGAGGCTCCTGATGTAGACATTGGAGGGGGAAAAGGAAAATTCAAAATGCCCCACATGAAGATGCCCAAATTTGGAATTTCTGCACGTGATATAAAAGCTACCAAATTGGATCTTGATGTAAGTCTCCCCAAGGTGAAAGGCGAAATTGATGCAGATGTAAGCCTTCGTAAGCCCAAAGTTGATGTAACCGTACCAGATATATCAGCAGACATCAAAGGGCCCAAGGCTGACATCAACATACCAACAATGGAATTGGAAGCAGGTTCGGCAGAAATAAACATTGAAGGTCCAGATGGCAAGTTCAAGTTGCCAACAGTAAAAATGCCACATTTTGGGATGTCAATGCCGAAATTCGAAGGCCCTGAATTGGATCTCAGTCTGAAAAAGCCGGACATTGACCTTAAATTGCTCAAAGCAAAAGCAGACATCAAGGGACCTGAGATTGATGTACAAGTACCGTTGTGTGAAGCAAATGTAGAGGCTCCTGATGTTGACATTGTAGGGGGAAAAGGAAAATTCAAAATGCCCCACATGAAGATGCCCAAATTTGGAATTTCTGCTCCTGATATAAAAGCTCCTAAATGGGATCTTGATATGAGTTTGCCAAAAGGTGACGTGGAAGTGAGTTTTCCCACTGTGAAAGGTGAAATTGATACAGATAGAAACCTTAGTAAACCCAAAGTTGACGTAACACTACCCGATGTTTCAGTGGACTTCAAAGCTCCCAAGGCTGATGTCCAAATACCAACGATGGAATTGGAAGCAGGTTCGGCAGAAATAAACATTGAAGGTCCAGATGGCAAGTTCAAGTTGCCAACAGTAAAAATGCCACATTTTGGGATGTCAATGCCGAAATTCGAAGGCCCTGAATTGGATCTCAGTCTGAAAAAGCCGGACATGGACTTTAAATTGCCCAAAGCAAAAGCAGACATCAAGGGACCTGAGATTCATGTACAAGTACCGTTGTATGAAGCAAATGTAGAGGCTCCTGATGTTGACATTGGAGGGGGAAAAGGAAAATTCAAAACGCCCCACATGAAGATGCCCAAATTTGGAATTTCTGCACCTGATATAAAAGCTCCCAAATTGGATCTTGATGTAAGTCTCCCTCAGGTGAAAGGTGAAATTGATGCAGACGTAAGCCTTCGTAAGCCCAAAGTTGATGTAACCGTACCAGATGTATCAGCGGACATCAAAGGGCCCAAGGCTGACATCAACATACCGAGGATGGATGTGGAGGCAGGTTCAGCAGAAATAAACATTGAAGGTCCAGATGGCGAGTTCAAGTTGCCAACAGTAAAAATGCCACATTTTGGGATTCCAAAGCTAAAATTTAAAGGCCCTGAAGTGGATCTCAGTCTGAAAAAGCCGGACATTGACCTTACATTGCCCAAAGCAAAAGCAGACATCAAGGGACCTGAGATTGATTTACCATTACCTTCATGTCCAGTAGTTGTAGAGGCTCCTGATGTAGACATTGGAGGGGGAAAAGGAAAATTCAAAATGCCCCACATGAAGATGCCGAAATTTGGAATTTCTGCTCCTGATTTAGAAGCTCCCAAATGGGATCTTGATGTGAGTTTGCCAAAAGGTGATGTGGAAGTGAGTTTGCCCACTGTGAAAGGTGAAATTGATACAGATATAAACCTTAGTAAACCCAAAGTTGACGTAACACTACCCGATGTTTCAGTGGACTTCAAAGCTCCCAAGGCTGATGTCCAAATACCAACGATGGAATTGGAATCAGGTTCAGCAGAAATAAACATTGAAGGTCCAGATGGCAAGTTCAAGTTGCCAACAGTAAAAATGCCACATTTTGGGATGTCAATGCCGAAATTCGAAGGCCCTGAATTGGATCTCAGTCTGAAAAAGCCGGACATTGACCTTAAATTGCCCAAAGCAAAAGCAGACATCAAGGGACCTGAGATTGATTTACAATTACCTTCATGTCCAGTAGTTGTAGAGGCTCCTGATGTAGACATTGGAGGGGGAAAAGGAAAATTCAAAATGCCCCACATGAAGATGCCCAAATTTGGAATTTCTGCTCCTGATTTAGAAGCTCCCAAATGGGATCTTGATGTGAGTTTGCCAAAAGGTAACGTGGAAGTGAGTTTGCCCACTGTGAAAGGTGAAATTGATACAGATGTAAACCTAAGTAAACCCAAAGTTGACGTAACATTACCTGATGTTTCAGTGGACATCAAAGCTCCCAAGGCTGATGTCCAAATACCAACGATGGAATTGGAAGCAGGTTCAGCAGAAATAAACATTGAAGGTCCAGATGGCAAGTTCAAGTTGCCAACAGTAAAAATGCCACATTTTGGGTTCTCAATGACGAAATTCAAAGGCCCTGAAGTGGATTTGAGTCTGAAAAAGCCAGACATTGACCTTGCACTTCCTGAAACAAAAGCAGACATCAAGGGACCTGAGATTAATGTACAACTACCTTCATGTGCAGTAGGTGTAGAGGCTCCTGATGTAGACATTGGAGGGGGAAAAGGAAAATTCAAAATGCCCCACATGAAGATGCCCAAATTTGGAATTTCTGCACCTGATATAAAAGCTCCCAAATTGGATCTTGATGTAAGTCTCCCCAAGGTGAAAGGCGAAATTGATGCAGATGTAAGCCTTCGTAAGCCCAAAGTTGATGTAACCGTACCAGATGTATCAGCGGACATCAAAGGGCCCAAGGCTGACATCAACATACCAACGATGGAATTGGAAGCAGGTTCAGCAGAAATAAACATTGAAGGTCCAGATGGCAAGTTCAAGTTGCCAACAGTAAAAATGCCACATTTTGGGATGTCAATGCCGAAATTCGAAGGCCCTGAATTGGATCTCAGTCTGAAAAAGCCGGACATTGACTTTAAATTGCCCAAAGCAAAAGCAGACATCAAGGGACCTGAGATTGATGTACAAGTACCGTTGTGTGCAGCAAATGTAGAGGCTCCTGATGTTGACATTGGAGTGGGAAAAGGAAAATTCAAAATGCCCCACATGAAAATGCCCAAATTTGGAATTTCTGCACCTGATACAAAAGCTCCCAAATTGGATCTTGATGTAAGTCTCCCCAAGGTGAAAGGTGAAATTGATGCAGACGTAAGCCTTCGTAAGCCCAAAGTTGATGTAACCGTACCAGATGTATCAGCGGACATCAAAGGGCCCAAGGCTGACATCAACATACCGAGGATAGATGTGGAGGCAGGTTCAGCAGAAATAAACATTGAAGGTCCAGATGGCAGGTTCAAGTTGCCAACAGTAAAAATGCCACATTTTGGGATTTCAAAACCAAAATTTAAAGGCCCTGAAGTGGATCTCAGTCTGAAAAAGCCGGACATTGACCTTACATTGCCCAAAGCAAAAGCAGACATCAAGGGACCTGAGATTGATGTACAAGTACCGTTGTGTGAAGCAAATGTAGAGGCTCCTGATGTTGACATTGGAGGCGGAAAAGGAAAATTCAAAATGCCCCACATGAAGATGCCCAAATTTGGAATTTCTGCACCTGATATAAAAGCTCCCAAATTGGATCTTGATGTAAGTCTCCCCAAGGTGAAAGGTGAAATTGATGCAGACGTAAGCCTTCGTAAGCCCAAAGTTGATGTAACCGTACCAGATGTATCAGTGGACATCAAAGGGCCCAAGGCTGACATCAACATACCGACGATGGATGTGGAGGCAGGTTCAGCAGAAATAAACATTGAAGGTCCAGATGGCAAGTTCAAGTTGCCAACAGTAAAAATGCCACATTTTGGGGTGTCAATGCCGAAATTCGAAGGCCCTGAATTGGATCTCAGTCTGAAAAAGCCGGACATTGACCTTAAATTGCCCAAAGCAAAAGCAGACATCAAGGGACCTGAGATTGATTTACAATTACCTTCATGTCCAGTAGCTGTAGAGGCTCCTGATGTAGACATTGGAGGGGGAAAAGGAAAATTCAAAATGCCCCACATGAAGATGCCCAAATTTGGAATTTCTGCTCCTGATTTAGAAGCTCCCAAATGGGATCTTGATGTGAGTTTGCCAAAAGGTAACGTGGAAGTGAGTTTGCCCACTGTGAAAGGTGAAATTGATACAGATGTAAACCTTAGTAAACCCAAAGTTGACGTAACATTACCTGATGTTTCAGTGGACATCAAAGCTCCCAAGGCTGATGTCCAAATACCAACGATGGAATTGGAAGCAGGTTCAGCAGAAATAAACATTGAAGGTCCAGATGGCAAGTTCAAGTTGCCAACAGTAAAAATGCCACATTTTGGGTTCTCAATGCCGAAATTTAAAGGCCCTGAAGTGGATCTCAGTCTGAAAAAGCCGGACATTGACCTTACATTGCCCAAAGCAAAAGCAGACATCAAGGGACCTGAGATTGATGTACAATTACCTTCATGTGCAGTAGGTGTAGAGATTCCTGATGTTGACATTGGAGGGGGAAAAGGAAAATTCATAATGCCCCACATCAAGATGCCCAAATTTGGAATTTCTGCACCTGATATAAAATCTCCCAAATTGGATCTTGATGTAAGTCTCCCCAAGGTGAAAGGTGAAATTGATGCAGACGTAAGCCTTGATAAGCCCAAAGTTGACGTAACCGTACCTGATGTATCACTGGACATCAAAGGGCCCAAGGCTGACATCAACATACCAACGATGGATGTGGAGGCAGGTTCATCAGAAATAAACATTGAAGGTCCAGATGGCAAGTTCAAGTTGCCAACAGTAAAAATGCCACATTTTGGGATTTCAAAACCAAAATTTAAAGGCCCTGAAGTGGATCTCAGTCTGAAAAAGCCGGACATTGACCTTACATTGCCCAAAGCAAAAGCAGACATCAAGGGACCTGAGATTGATGTACAAGTACCGTTGTGTGAAGCAAAGGTAGAGGTTCCTGATGTTGACATTGAAGGAAGAAAAGGAAAATTCAAAATGCCCCACATGAAGATGCCCAAATTTGGAATTTCTGCACCTGATATAAAAGCTCCCAAATTGGATCTTGATGTAAGTCTCCCCAAGGTGAAAGGTGAAATTGATGCAGACGTAAGCCTTCGTAAGCCCAAAGTTGACGTAACCGTACCTGATGTATCAGTGGACATCAAAGGGCCCAAGGCTGACATCAACATACCAACGATGGATGTGGAGGCAGGTTCAGCAGAAATAAACATTGAAGGTCCAGATGGCAATTTTAAAATGCCAACAGTAAAAATGCCACATTTTGGGATGTCAATGCCGAAATTCAGAGGCCCTAAAGTGGATCTGAGTCTGAAAAAGCCAGACATTGACCTTGCACTTCCTAAAGCAGAAGCAGACATCAAGGGACCTGCGATTGATGTACAATTACCTTCATGTGCAGTAAGCGTAGAGGCTCCTGATGTAGACATTGGAGGGGGAAAAGGAAAATTCAAAATGCCCCACATGAAGATGCCCAAATTTGGAATTTCTTCACCTGATTTAGAAGCTCCCAAATGGGATCTTGATGTGAGTTTGCCAAAAGGTGACGTGGAAGTGAGTTTGCCCACTGTGAAAGGTGAAATTGATACAGATATAAACCTTAGAAAACCCAAAGTTGACGTAACACTACCTGATGTTTCAGTGGACATCAAAGCTCCCAAGGCTGATGTCCAAATACCAACGACGGAATTGGAACCAGGTTCAGCAGAAATAAACATTGAAGGTCCAGATGGCAAGTTCAAGTTGCCAACAGTAAAAATGCCACATTTTGGGGTGTCAATGCCGAAATTCGAAGGCCCTGAATTGGATCTCAGTCTGAAAAAGCCGGACATTGACCTTAAATTGCCCAAAGCAAAAGCAGACATCAAGGGACCTGAGATTGATTTACAATTACCTTCATGTCCAGTAGTTGTAGAGGCTCCTGATGTAGACATTGGAGGGGGAAAAGGAAAATTCAAAATGCCCCACATGAAGATGCCCAAATTTGGAATTTCTTCACCTGATTTAGAAGCTCCCAAATGGGATCTTGATGTGAGTTTGCCAAAAGGTGACGTGGAAGTGAGTTTGCCCACTGTGAAAGGTGAAATTGATACAGATATAAACCTTAGAAAACCCAAAGTTGACGTAACACTACCTGATGTTTCAGTGGACATCAAAGCTCCCAAGGCTGATGTCCAAATACCAACGATGGAATTGGAAGCAGGTTCAGCAGAAATAAACATTGAAGGTCCAGATGGCAAGTTCAAGTTGCCAACAGTAAAAATGCCACATTTTGGGTTCTCAATGACGAAATTCAAAGGCCCTGAAGTGGATTTGAGTCTGAAAAAGCCAGACATTGACCTTGCACTTCCTGAAACAAAAGCAGACATCAAGGGACCTGAGATTAATGTACAACTACCTTCATGTGCAGTAGGTGTAGAGGCTCCTGATGTAGACATTGGAGGGGGAAAAGGAAAATTCAAAATGCCCCACATGAAGATGCCCAAATTTGGAATTTCTGCACCTGATATAAAAGCTCCCAAATTGGATCTTGATGTAAGTCTCCCCAAGGTGAAAGGCGAAATTGATGCAGATGTAAGCCTTCGTAAGCCCAAAGTTGATGTAACCGTACCAGATGTATCAGCGGACATCAAAGGGCCCAAGGCTGACATCAACATACCAACGATGGAATTGGAAGCAGGTTCAGCAGAAATAAACATTGAAGGTCCAGATGGCAAGTTCAAGTTGCCAACAGTAAAAATGCCACATTTTGGGATGTCAATGCCGAAATTCGAAGGCCCTGAATTGGATCTCAGTCTGAAAAAGCCGGACATTGACTTTAAATTGCCCAAAGCAAAAGCAGACATCAAGGGACCTGAGATTGATGTACAAGTACCGTTGTGTGCAGCAAATGTAGAGGCTCCTGATGTTGACATTGGAGTGGGAAAAGGAAAATTCAAAATGCCCCACATGAAGATGCCCAAATTTGGAATTTCTGCACCTGATACAAAAGCTCCCAAATTGGATCTTGATGTAAGTCTCCCCAAGGTGAAAGGTGAAATTGATGCAGACGTAAGCCTTCGTAAGCCCAAAGTTGATGTAACCGTACCAGATGTATCAGCGGACATCAAAGGGCCCAAGGCTGACATCAACATACCGAGGATAGATGTGGAGGCAGGTTCAGCAGAAATAAACATTGAAGGTCCAGATGGCAGGTTCAAGTTGCCAACAGTAAAAATGCCACATTTTGGGATTTCAAAACCAAAATTTAAAGGCCCTGAAGTGGATCTCAGTCTGAAAAAGCCGGACATTGACCTTACATTGCCCAAAGCAAAAGCAGACATCAAGGGACCTGAGATTGATGTACAATTACCTTCACGTGCAGTAGGTGTAGAGGTTCCTGATGTTGACATTGGAGGAAGAAAAGGAAAATTCAAAATGCCCCACATGAAGATGCCCAAATTTGGAATTTCTGCACCTGATATAAAAGCTCCCAAATTGGATCTTGATGTAAGTCTCCCCAAGGTGAAAGGTGAAATTGATGCAGACGTAAGCCTTCGTAAGCCCAAAGTTGACGTAACCGTACCTGATGTATCAGTGGACATCAAAGGGCCCAAGGCTGACATCAACATACCAACGATGGATGTGGAGGCAGGTTCAGCAGAAATAAACATTGAAGGTCCAGATGGCAATTTTAAAATGCCAACAGTAAAAATGCCACATTTTGGGATGTCAATGCCGAAATTCAGAGGCCCTAAAGTGGATCTGAGTCTGAAAAAGCCAGACATTGACCTTGCACTTCCTAAAGCAGAAGCAGACATCAAGGGACCTGCGATTGATGTACAATTACCTTCATGTGCAGTAAGCGTAGAGGCTCCTGATGTAGACATTGGAGGGGGAAAAGGAAAATTCAAAATGCCCCACATGAAGATGCCCAAATTTGGAATTTCTGCACCTGATTTAGAAGCTCCCAAATGGGATCTTGATGTGAGTTTGCCAAAAGGTGACGTGGAAGTGAGTTTGCCCACTGTGAAAGGTGAAATTGATACAGATATAAACCTTAGAAAACCCAAAGTTGACGTTACACTACCTGATGTTTCAGTGGACATCAAAGCTCCCAAGGCTGATGTCCAAATACCAACGATGGAATTGGAACCAGGTTCAGCAGAAATAAACATTGAAGGTCCAGATGGCAAGTTCAAGTTGCCAACAGTAAAAATGCCACATTTTGGGTTCCCAATGCCGAAATTCAAAGGCCCTGAAGTGGATCTGAGTCTGAAAAAGCCAGACATTGACCTTGCACTTCCTGAAGCAAAAGCAGACATCAAGGGACCTGCGATTGATGTACAATTACCATCACGTGCAGTAGGTGTAGAGGCTCCTGATGTAGACATTGGAGGGGGAAAAGGAAAATTCAAAATGCCCCACATGAAGATGCCCAAATTTGGAATTTCTGCACCTGATATAAAAGCTCCCAAATTGGATCTTGATGTAAGTCTCCCCAAGGTGAAAGGCGAAATTGATGCAGACGTAAGCCTTCATAAGACCAAAGTTGATGTCACCGTACCTGATGTATCAGTGGACATCAAAGGGCCCAAGGCTGACATCAACATACCGACGATGGATGTGGAGGCAGGTTCAGCAGAAATAAACATTGAAGGTCCAGATGGCAAGTTCAAGTTGCCAACAGTAAAAATGCCACATTTTGGGGTGTCAATGCCGAAATTCGAAGGCCCTGAATTGGATCTCAGTCTGAAAAAGCCGGACATTGACCTTAAATTGCCCAAAGCAAAAGCAGACATCAAGGGACCTGAGATTGATTTACAATTACCTTCATGTCCAGTAGTTGTAGAGGCTCCTGATGTAGACATTGGAGGGGGAAAAGGAAAATTCAAAATGCCCCACATGAAGATGCCCAAATTTGGAATTTCTGCTCCTGATTTAGAAGCTCCCAAATGGGATCTTGATGTGAGTTTGCCAAAAGGTGATGTGGAAGTGAGTTTGCCCACTGTGAAAGGTGAAATTGATACAGATATAAACCTTAGAAAACCCAAAGTTGACGTAACACTACCTGATGTTTCAGTGGACATCAAAGCTCCCAAGGCTGATGTCCAAATACCAACGATGGAATTGGAAGCAGGTTCAGCAGAAATAAACATTGAAGGTCCAGATGGCAAGTTCAAGTTGCCAACAGTAAAAATGCCACATTTTGGGTTCTCAATGCCGAAATTCAAAGGCCCTGAAGTGGATCTCAGTCTGAAAAAGCCGGACATTGACCTTACATTGCCCAAAGCAAAAGCAGACATCAAGGGACCTGAGATTGATGTACAATTACCTTCATGTGCAGTAGGTGTAGAGATTCCTGATGTTGACATTGGAGGGGGAAAAGGAAAATTCAAAATGCCCCACATGAAGATGCCCAAATTTGGAATTTCTGCACCTGATATAAAAGCTCCCAAATTGGATCTTGATGTAAGTCTCCCCAAGGTGAAAGGTGAAATTGATGCAGATGTAAGCCTTCATAAGCCCAAAGTTGACGTAACCGTACCTGATGTATCAGTGGACATCAAAGGGCCCAAGGCTGACATCAACATACCAACGATGGATGTGGAGGCAGGTTCAGCAGAAATAAACATTGAAGGTCCAGATGGCAAGTTCAAGTTGCCAACAGTAAAAATGCCACATTTTGGGATTTCAAAACCAAAATTTAAAGGCCCTGAAGTGGATCTCAGTCTGAAAAAGCCGGACATTGACCTAACATTGCCCAAAGCAAAAGCAGACATCAAGGGACCTGAGATTGATGTACAAGTACCGTTGTGTGAAGCAAAGGTAGAGGTTCCTGATGTTGACATTGGAGGAAGAAAAGGAAAATTCAAAATGCCCCACATGAAGATGCCCAAATTTGGAATTTCTGCACCTGATATAAAAGCTCCCAAATTGGATCTTGATGTGAGTTTGCCAAAAGGTGACGTGGAAGTGAGTTTGCCCACGGTGAAAGGTGAAATTGATACAGATATAAACCTTAGAAAACCCAAAGTTGACGTAACACTACCTGATGTTTCAGTGGACATCAAAGCTCCCAAGGCTGATGTCCAAATACCAACGATGGAATTGGAACCAGGTTCAGCAGAAATAAACATTGAAGGTCCAGATGGCAAGTTCAAGTTGCCAACAGTAAAAATGCCACATTTTGGGTTCTCAATGCCGAAATTCAAAGGCCCTGAAGTGGATCTGAGTCTGAAAAAGCCAGACATTGACCTTGCACTTCCTGAAGCAAAAGCAGACATCAAGGGACCTGCGATTGATGTACAATTACCTTCATGTGCAGTAGGTGTAGAGGCTCCTGATGTAGACATTGGAGGGGGAAAAGGAAAATTCAAAATGCCCCACATGAAGATGCCCAAATTTGGAATTTCTGCACCTGATATAAAAGCTCCCAAATTGGATCTTGATGTAAGTCTCCCCAAGGTGAAAGGTGAAATTGATGCAGACGTAAGCCTTCGTAAGCCCAAAGTTGATGTAACCGTACCAGATGTATCAGTGGACATCAAAGGGCCCAAGGCTGACATCAACATACCGACGATGGATGTGGAGGCAGGTTCAGCAGAAATAAACATTGAAGGTCCAGATGGCAAGTTCAAGTTGCCAACAGTAAAAATGCCACATTTTGGGGTGTCAATTCCGAAATTCAGAGGCCCTAAAGTGGATCTGAGTCTGAAAAAGCCAGACATTGACCTTGCACTTCCTAAAGCAGAAGCAGACATCAAGGGACCTGCGATTGATGCACAATTACCTTCATGTGCAGTAAGCGTAGAGGCTCCTGATGTAGACATTGGAGGGGGAAAAGGAAAATTCAAAATGCCCCACATGAAGATGCCCAAATTTGGAATTTCTGCACCTGATTTAGAAGCTCCCAAATGGGATCTTGATGTGAGTTTGCCAAAAGGTGACGTGGAAGTGAGTTTGCCCACTGTGAAAGGTGAAATTGATACAGATATAAACCTTAGAAAACCCAAAGTTGACGTAACACTACCTGATGTTTCAGTGGACATCAAAGCTCCCAAGGCTGATGTCCAAATACCAACGATGGAATTGGAACCAGGTTCAGCAGAAATAAACATTGAAGGTCCAGATGGCAAGTTCAAGTTGCCAACAGTAAAAATGCCACATTTTGGGTTCTCAATGCCGAAATTCAAAGGCCCTGAAGTGGATCTGAGTCTGAAAAAGCCAGACATTGACCTTGCACTTCCTGAAGCAAAAGCAGACATCAAGGGACCTGCGATTGATGTACAATTACCTTCATGTGCAGTAGGTGTAGAGGCTCCTGATGTAGACATTGGAGGGGGAAAAGGAAAATTCAAAATGCCCCACATGAAGATGCCCAAATTTGGAATTTCTGCACCTGATATAAAAGCTCCCAAATTGGATCTTGATGTAAGTCTCCCCAAGGTGAAAGGCGAAATTGATGCAGACGTAAGCCTTCATAAGACCAAAGTTGATGTCACCGTACCTGATGTATCAGTGGACATCAAAGGGCCCAAGGCTGACATCAACATACCGACGATGGATGTGGAGGCAGGTTCAGCAGAAATAAACATTGAAGGTCCAGATGGCAAGTTCAAGTTGCCAACAGTAAAAATGCCACATTTTGGGGTGTCAATGCCGAAATTCGAAGGCCCTGAATTGGATCTCAGTCTGAAAAAGCCGGACATTGACCTTAAATTGCCCAAAGCAAAAGCAGACATCAAGGGACCTGAGATTGATTTACAATTACCTTCATGTCCAGTAGTTGTAGAGGCTCCTGATGTAGACATTGGAGGGGGAAAAGGAAAATTCAAAATGCCCCACATGAAGATGCCCAAATTTGGAATTTCTGCTCCTGATTTAGAAGCTCCCAAATGGGATCTTGATGTGAGTTTGCCAAAAGGTGATGTGGAAGTGAGTTTACCCACTGTGAAAGGTGAAATTGATACAGATATAAACCTTAGAAAACCCAAAGTTGACGTAACACTACCTGATGTTTCAGTGGACATCAAAGCTCCCAAGGCTGATGTCCAAATATCAACGATGGAATTGGAAGCAGGTTCAGCAGAAATAAACATTGAAGGTCCAGATGGCAAGTTCAAGTTGCCAACAGTAAAAATGCCACATTTTGGGTTCTCAATGCCGAAATTCAAAGGCCCTGATGTGGATCTCAGTCTGAAAAAGCCGGACATTGACCTTACATTGCCCAAAGCAAAAGCAGACATCAAGGGACCTGAGATTGATTTACAATTACCTTCATGTGCAGTAGGTGTAGAGATTCCTGATGTTGACATTGGAGGGGGAAAAGGAAAATTCAAAATGCCCCACATGAAGATGCCCAAATTTGGAATTTCTGCACCTGATATAAAATCTCCCAAATTGGATCTTGATGTAAGTCTCCCCAAGGTGAAAGGTGAAATTGATGCAGACGTAAGCCTTCATAAGCCCAAAGTTGACGTAACCGTACCTGATGTATCAGTGGACATCAAAGGGCCCAAGGCTGACATCAACATACCAACGATGGATGTGGAGGCAGGTTCAGCAGAAATAAACATTGAAGGTCCAGATGGCAAGTTCAAGTTGCCAACAGTAAAAATGCCATATTTTGGGATTTCAAAACCAAAATTTAAAGGCCCTGAAGTGGATCTCAGTCTGAAAAAGCCGGACATTGACCTTACATTGCCCAAAGCAAAAGCAGACATCAAGGGACCTGAGATTGATGTACAAGTACCGTTGTGTGAAGCAAAGGTAGAGGTTCCTGATGTTGACATTGGAGGAAGAAAAGGAAAATTCAAAATGCCCCACATGAAGATGCCCAAATTTGGAATTTCTGCACCTGATATAAAAGCTCCCAAATTGGATCTTGATGTAAGTCTCCCCAAGGTGAAAGGTGAAATTGATGCAGACGTAAGCCTTCGTAAGCCCAAAGTTGACGTAACCGTACCTGATGTATCAGTGGACATCAAAGGGCCCAAGGCTGACATCAACATACCAACGATGGATGTGGAGGCAGGTTCAGCAGAATTAAACATTGAAGGTCCAGATGGCAATTTTAAAGTGCCAACAGTAAAAATGCCACATTTTGGGATGTCAATGCCGAAATTCAGAGGCCCTAAAGTGGATCTGAGTCTGAAAAAGCCAGACATTGACCTTGCACTTCCTAAAGCAGAAGCAGACATCAAGGGACCTGCGATTGATGCACAATTACCTTCATGTGCAGTAAGCGTAGAGGCTCCTGATGTAGACATTGGAGGGGGAAAAGGAAAATTCAAAATGCCCCACATGAAGATGCCCAAATTTGGAATTTCTTCACCTGATTTAGAAGCTCCCAAATGGGATCTTGATGTGAGTTTGCCAAAAGGTGACGTGGAAGTGAGTTTGCCCACTGTGAAAGGTGAAATTGATACAGATATAAACCTTAGAAAACCCAAAGTTGACGTAACACTACCTGATGTTTCAGTGGACATCAAAGCTCCCAAGGCTGATGTCCAAATACCACCGATGGAATTGGAAGCAGGTTCAGCAGAAATAAACATTGAAGATCCAGATAGGAAGTTTAAAATGCCAACAGTAAAAATGCCACATTTTGGGATGTCAATGCCAAAGTTTAGAGGCCCTGAAGTGGATCTGAGTCTGAAAAAGCCGGACATTGACCTTAAATTGCCCAAAGCAAAAGCAGACATCAAGGGACCTGAGATTGATGTACAAGTACCGTTGTGTGAAGCAAATGTAGAGGTTCCTGATGTTGACATTGGAGGAAGAACAGGAAAATTCAAAATGCCCCACATGAAAATGCCCAAATTTGGAATTTCTGCTCCTGATTTAGAAGCTCCCAAATGGGATCTTGATGTGAGTTTGCCAAAAGGTGATGTGGAAGTGAGTTTGCCCACTGTGAAAGGTGAAATTGATACAGATATAAACCTTAGAAAACCCAAAGTTGACGTAACACTACCCGATGTTTCAGTGGACTTCAAAGCTCCCAAGGCTGATGTCCAAATACCAACGATGGAATTGGAAGCAGGTTCAGCAGAAATAAACATTGAAGGTCCAGATGGCAAGTTCAAGTTGCCAACAGTAAAAATGCCACATTTTGGGATGTCAATGCCGAAATTCGAAGGCCCTGAATTGGATCTCAGTCTGAAAAAGCCGGACATTGACCTTAAATTGCTCAAAGCAAAAGCAGACATCAAGGGACCTGAGATTGATGTACAAGTACCGTTGCGTGAAGCAAATGTAGAGGTTCCTGATGTTGACATTGGAGAGGGAAAAGGAAAATTCAAAATGCCCCACATGAAGTTGCCCAAATTTGGAATTTCTGCACCTGATATAAAAGCTCCCAAATTGGATCTTGATGTAAGTCTCCCCAAGGTGAAAGGTGAAATTGATGCAGACGTAAGCCTTCGTAAGCCCAAGGTTGATGTAACCGTACCAGATGTATCAGCGGACATCAAAGGGCCCAAGGCTGACATCAACATACCAACGATGGATGTGGAGGCAGGTTCAGCAGAAATAAACATTGAAGGTCCAGATGGCAAGTTCAAAATGCCAACAGTAAAAATGCCACATTTTGGGATGTCAATGCCAAAGTTTAAAGGCCCTGAAGTGGATCTGAGTCTGAAAAAGCCAGACATTGACCTTGCACTTCCTAAAGCAAAAGCAGACATCAAGGGACCTGCGATTGATGTACAATTACCTTCATGTGCAGTAAGCGTAGAGGCTCCTGATGTAGACATTGGAGGGGGAAAAGGAAAATTCAAAATGCCCCACATGAAGATGCCCAAATTTGGAATTTCTGCACCTGATATAAAAGCTCCCAAATTGGATCTTGATGTAAGTCTCCCGAAGGTGAAAGGCGAAATTGATGCAGACGTAAGCCTTCGTAAGCCCAAAGTTGACGTAACCGTACCTGATGTATCAGTGGACATCAAAGGGCCCAAGGCTGACATCAACATACCAATGTTGGATGTGGAGGCAGGTTCAGCAGAAATAAACATTGAAGGTCCAGATGGCAATTTTAAAATGCCAACAGTAAAAATGCCACATTTTGGGATGTCAATGCCGAAATTCAGAGGCCCTAAAGTGGATCTGAGTCTGAAAAAGCCGGACATTGACCTTACACTTCCCACCGGAAAGGCAGACCTGAAGGGACCGGAGATTCATGTACAATTACCGTCATGTGAAGTAGATGTAGAGGCTCCTGATATAAACACTGGAGGAAAAAAAGGAAAATTCAAAATGCCCCACATGAAGATGCCCAAATTTGGAATTTCTGCACCTGATATAAAAGCTCCCAAATTGGATCTTGATGTGAATTTGCCCAAGGTAAAAGGTGAAATTGTTGCAGATGTGAATCTAAGTAAACCCAAAGTTGATTTAGCCGTACCTGATGTATCAGCGCACATCAAAGGTCCCAAGGCTGATATCAACGTACCAACAATGGATGTGGAGACAGGTTCAGCAGAAATGAACATTGAAGGCCCAGATGGCAAGTTCAATATGCCAACAGTAAAGATGCCACATTTTGAGATTTCAATGCCAAAATTTAAAGGCACTGACGTTGACATTGGTCTGAAAAAGCCGGATATTGATGTCAATCTGCCCAAAGCTGAAGGACACATCAAGGGACCTGAGATTGATATCCACACACCAACAGTGGAACTTGACACTGGTTCAGCTGAACTCAACTTCGAAGGTCCAGATGGGAAGTTGAAAATGCCAAAGGTTAAAAAGCCATATTTTGGGTTTTCAATGCCGAAATTTAAAAGTCCTGAAGTGGATCTCAGTCTGAAAAAGCCGGACATTGACCTTGCACTTCCCAAAGGAAAAGCAGGCATGAAGGGACCTGAGGTTGATGTACAATTACCGTCATGTGAAGTCGATGTGGAGGCTCCTGATGTAGACGTTGGGGGAACAAAAGGAAAATTCAAAATGCCCCACATGAAGATGCCCAAATTTGGAATTTCTGGACCTGATATAAAAGCTCCCAAATTGGATCTTGATGTTAGTCTGCCCAAGGTGAAAGGTGAAATTGATGGAGACGTAACCTTTCATCAGCCCAAAGTTGACATAACTGTACCTGATGTATCAGCAGACATCAAAGGTACCAAGGCTGACATCAGCATACCAACGATGGATGTGGAGGCAGGTTCAGCAGAAATAAACATTGAAGACCCAGATGGAAAGTTCAAGTTGCCAACAGTAAAAATACCACATTTTGGGATTTCAATGACAAAATTTAAAGGTCCTGAAGTGGATCTCAATCTGAAAAAGCCGGACATTGATGTTAAAATGCCCAAAGCTGAAAGACACATCAAGGGACCTGAGATTGAGGTAGATTTACCATCATGTGAAATAGATGCAGAGGCTTCTGATTTAGATACTGGAGGAGCAAAAGGAAAATTCAAAATGCCCCACATGAAGATGCCTAAATTTGGAATGTCTGGACCTGATATAAAAGCTCCCAAATTGGATCTTGACGTGAGTTTACAAAAAGGTGACCTGGATGTGAGTTTGCCCAAGGTGAAAGGTGAAATTGATGCAGACATAACCTTACATAAACCAAAAGTTGATGTAGCGGTATCTGATGTATCAGCGGACATCAAAGGGCCCAAGGCTGACATCAACATACCAATGGTGGATGTGGAGCCAGGTTCAGCAGAAATAAACATTGAAGGTCCAGATGGTAAGTTCAAGTTGCCAACAGTAAAAGTACCACATTTTGGAATTTCATTGCCAAAATTTAAAGGCCCTGAAGTGGATCTAAGTCTGAAAAAGCCGGACATTGACGTTAAACTGCCTACAACTGAAGGAGACATTAAGGGACCTGAGATTGATATCCACGCACCAACAATGGATCTTGATACTGGTTCAGCTGAACTGAACATCGAAGGTCCTGATGGCAAATTTAAAATGCCAAAGATTAAAAAGCCACATTTTACGTTTTCAATGCCAAAATTTAAAGGCCCTGAATTGGATATCAGCAGAAAAAACTCAGACATTGACATTACTCTGTCAAAGCCAAAAGTTGCCATTAAAGGACCTGGGATTGATGTAGACGCATCTTCTTTTGAAGCAGATGTAGAGAATCTTGATGTGGAGATTGGAAAAGCAAAAGGAAAATTTAAAATGCCTCACATTAAAGGGTCCAAATTTGGATTTTCTGCACTTGATATAAAAGCTCCCAAGTTCGATCTTGAGTTTAGTTTAGCAAAGGCTGATATTGACGTAAGTGCTCCTAATGCAGATATCAAACCCGGCAAATTGGATGGTAATTTCGGTATTGAGCATCTCAGTTTCGAAGGCCCTGATAGTTCTTTAAAAATGCCTAAAGTAGAAGTGCCATCTTTGGATGTGAGTTTGCCCAAAGTGAAAGGTGAAATTGATGCAGCGGTAAGCCTCAGTAAACCTCAAGTTGATGTAACCCTTCCTGATGTATCAGCGGACATCAAAGGTCCAGTTGCTAACATTAACATACCAACAATGGAAGTGGAAGTAGGATCAGCAGAAATGAACATCGAAGGTACAGATGGCAAGGTTAAAATGCCAAAGGCAAAAAAGCCACATTTTAGGTTTTTAATGCCAAAATTTAAAGGCCCTGAAATGGATATCGGCAGGAAAAAGCCAGACATTGACATTACACTTTCCAAACCAAAAGCAGACATCAAGGGACCTGAGATTGATATAGAAGTACCATCATGTGAAGTTCATGCAGAGGCTCCTGATGTAGACATTGGTGGAACAAAAGGAAAATTCAAAATGCTGCAAATGAAGATGCCCAAATTTGGAATTTCTGCACCTGATGTAAAAGCTCCTAAATTGGATCTTGATGTGAGTCTGCCCAAGATGGAAGGTGAAATTGATGCAAATGTAAGCCTTAGTAAATCCAAAGTTGATGTAACTGTACCTGATGTATCAACAGACATCAAAGGTCCAACGATGGATGTGGAGACAGGTTCAGCAGAAATAAACATTGAAGGCCCAGGTGGCAAATTCAAGTTGCCAACAGTCAAAATGCAACAATTTGGGATTTCAACGCCAAAGTTTAAAGGTCCTGAAGTTGATATTGGCATGCAAAAAACAGACATTGACCCTACACTTCCCAAAGCAGAAACAGTTGTCAAAATTCCAGAGATTGACCTCCATGCACCAACTGTAGGTATGGTGGCTGGTTCAGCAGACATAAACATTGACGGGAAAAATGTAGGTATCCGAAAAATAAAAGTGGCTCAGTTGGAAATATTGGATCCAAGTGTTTCAGCTTCTTTAAAGGGCACTGAGAAAGATATCTCCATTGGAAAATGTGTTGTAGATGTTAAAGGATTAGGTAAAGGTTCAAAATTAAGTGGTAAATTAAACAATGAGGAAACAGAATTTAATGTGGGAATTCCCGACAGTGAAATAACTGGGGGGAAAATTAGCCTAGGTGATATTGATGGGAATTTATTTGGCACAAAGTTGAAAGGAAGTGCATTGGATTGTGATGTGCAAGTGGACATAAAAAGTTCAGAACCTGATCTTGGGTTATCAGTGCTGGATACTAATGCAGGCAGTAAAATAGAAGCGAAACAATCAACCTATGGGGTTTCACTTTTAAAGGTTAGTTCCCCAACAGCACAATGTGAAAGTGGAATTGATGGTGCTGGGTCAATTTTGACATCTGTGAATATTATTCAGCCAAAACTTAAACAGGTTACAGACACATCAACTTCAGGGCCAACCTTTGGTGGTGTATTTGAAGGTCATGGTGATGATACAGATATAAAAACCAAAGCTGTACCTGGAAAGGTAAAATTTAAACTCCCCAGGATTGGGCTTTCTGAAGCAGAGTCTACTCAGTCCGTACCTGAGCTCAAAGGTCAGAAAGATTCTGATGTGGTACCTTTAAAAACAACAGAGGCAACAAAGACTAAGACCAGCTGGTTTAAATTTCCAAAAATAAGTTTTTCATCGCCATGGAGAAAAGAAAAACAGGAAACTGAAGTTGGGAAAAATGCTGCACCTGAAATTCCAGTTTCCAGTACGCCATCAATTGAACTTGGTGTAAAGGCCACCAGTCTTAAAGCTGATGATTCATCTGCAAAAGCATCACCATTAAAGCAGACAATTGATGAAGGTTCTGCAAATATTGCTCTTCGTGTTGACAAGACTGAAACAGTAACAAAGTATGAAACACCCAGTGTCACAGCACCTGAAACGGATGTGAAAAAGCCTAATGAAGTTGTCACTTCAACTGCTAGAACTGAACTTGCTTTGTTGGAATCAAGTGGTTTCAGTTTAAATGTAGGGTCAGCCGAGGCTGAACAAAGCTACAAGGTTTCAAGCAGTGAAAGTTCTTCTGAACATCACAGTTATGCGATTGGAATTCCAACTATAAAATCAAGTGAGCAAAGCAAAGAAAAGGCTGGAGCCCTTGAAGTTCCTGATCTATCAATGTCACAACCTGAAGGTTCTTCATACCTATCTTCTGCAGAGCATTCCAAAGTTGCAATTAAAGGATATCTCATACAAGCTACCGGTGGAACATCTGAACCTCCGACATCTCCTACAGAGCATTCTTCGTTCCTGTCTGAATTCCGCATACCAAAAAGACGATATGTTGTACCTGCTGGAGGCCATGGTTTCACAAAGGAAGATACCAAAACTGAAGGGTCTGTAGTTGTCTTAACTGAGAGCTCAACAGTACAACACGGTGACATAACATCTGAAGCAACAGCTTCTGCTGAATCATCTACTGCCTTCCAAAATATAAGAGAAATTATTCAGGGTGAGCAAAAACAATTCTATGAAACATCCCAACATTCATCAGTTTCCATTTCTGTGACAGAATCAGAGATAAAAACTGTCAAGAAGACTGTAACGAAGAAATAGAGCATATATTTAGAGTCTTGTTTATATTTGTGGTGTGGTGCTTTTCCTCGCTGTTTTATGCATTTAACCAAATAGTACTTAAGAATAATTCTATACAAAAGGGTATGTTTTGTGTAAACATAGGGTTATTTCACGCATCATTAGGTATTAAAGATCATATTTTCAGGTAATGATAGAGGTTGCTTTAACAAGAACCAAACTTAAAATATAAGCTGCAACCAGTAAATTGTACATTATTTTACACAGTTGTGTATTAGGCTGTTCAACAACTGCTTTTGACTGAAATGGAACTGCTGTACAGCTTTATGGTTTCAAATATTCATTCAGTAAGTAGGACCTGATGGTCGTTTTCAAACCAGCTTAAACATTCTTCGTTCATATAAATCACACTACAGTTTTTGATTCTTCCAGAGTAATCACTTGAATAACTTGTTTCATCTATCTGAAATAGAGATGGGCTTTACGCTCTTACACATGAAATTATGACAGACAACCACAACCAACACAATAGAGGAATAGGTTTAAAGATATCATAATTTTATCAATGGTTAAAGCTTGAATTTTTAAAAATGGATCCCAGCCCTAATAATGAATTTCCTTAACCATTTAAATCCATAAAAATACATTAGATTCTTTTGAAAAATGCTATCTCCAATGCCCTAAACAAACACACACCTTAAACACGGTTCGTGCAATACGTGTTATGCAAAATATTAATAGAATGACAAGAACATAAAATATTTATAATAGATGCCATGAATTATTTCAAAAATAATTTGATGTGCATGTCGTGTGTCATTGGCCCAGAGCCATCTTTGTATTAAGTGGCATCACAAATAGCATGTTTAAAGCATGTCGGTGTACAACATGCAGCCAATAACTGTTTAAAAAATAAAAAAATAAATATAATCTAATATTTTAAGTGCATCAGCACTCGTCAACATGGCTCAGCTGATATTAGAATTTTAATTTGTTCTGTAAATCAAAATAGGCATTAAAATCATTGTTTCATGTGAATATCTGTTGTAAATATGATTAGATACAATCTGTATTCTGAAAGCTGAATTTATGTCACTGTTATTGCAAATTATTACTCGTCTGCATTTTGCATCAATATTTTAACTCCATTTGTTTATGTTTTCTCAGTTAATGTATCTGCTACTTTTTGTGGATATGTTATTAATAAAATTATCTGTGTTTGGACACTAAATATCGGGGGACAATGCTCTCTTTGTGTTAAATGTTAACCTTACAATATTAGCTGCAATTAACAGTTATACTTATAACAGAGCACTCGCTTTGCAAGCGAGAGACCTGAGTTCAATTCCAGGCAGGGTGAAACCTTGGGCAAGTTTCCTTATTCCACACAGAGCCTAATAATAATCCCTCCAAAACCCCAAAAAACAATAATAAATTGGTCATTTTCAATCTACGACTGTTTGTGGGACACTGCTGTGCGCAATTGGCTGCCGCGTTTGCCCACAAATATACAGTCAATTCACTTTACAGTGTGTTCTGTGAAGCGCTTTGGGACGTCCTCCCGACGTGAAAAGCGCTATATCAAATGCAAGGATTATTATTATTATTATTATCATTATTATACTATTTCAAAATTGTATATTCCAGGTATAGGACTTCTGTAGGAGTTTATAGGTGTTTCACATTCAGTTGTAATGCTGAAAGAATTATCAATCGTCGCTATTGGCACCAGGCTATAATCTATAAAATTCTTATATTGTCTAACCATCTAAATAATCAAACACACTAAGAAATCTTTAATAAACCAAAGTATGTCATACTTCTTTCAGTGGTATTAAACTGGTGTTTATGTTGGTACAGAGATGCACCAGGTCTGTAAGAAATGAAATAAAGAAACTGAAAACCAGCAACTCGCCTAGCTATGATTATTGCTGGCCTCTCCTTCACAGAATGTTTCACCAAGTTATTATTCAGCAGACTTGTTATCTCTTTGGTAACTCCATACTTAGACCAAAAATATGGTCGCAGAGACGGGTCTTGAAGGAGGCAAGGGAGGGGGCGAGGTGGAGGAACTGCGGGATGGAGTTCCATTCAGAGTATGAATGGAAAAGGGGTAACAAACACATATACTCTTCCAAATATTTTATTAATTTGTTTATTAAAAAAAATCACCAAAGCACAAGTCATAGATTATAACTAAACATTCCATTATTTCACAGAACTTTAAAACTAAAATCTCTTTATATAGTATGGAACATAATTCAAAAATGATCACCACATGCTCCAGAGCGAAGGCTTGTCCAATAAAGATTTTTGTTAAGCCTCAGCAAATACAGTAGTATAGATTAGATTTTTAATTCAATCCTGAAGTTATACGTTTATGGGAGCTATGTATGCAAAGCATTTTTTAAAAAGGCAGATGATACACAAAGTATTAATTGCCTAAACCTAGAGTTTTTAAAATGAAAAAAGAAAACACCTTAGCTTTTTCAGAATTAAATTGAATTAGATCTACAAAAAGTAAACTGGCCCAGGTGTGAACTTGCTACATCAGTGCTGATTCATTTAGTCATTTCCAGAAGATGATTGTGGAGCCTTTCTGGTCTGTAATGGCTCAATACAGCACGTACCATGGTGGGTTTTACTTAATGAGCCATGTGGGAATCCTGATCCCGTTCTTTTTGTTGATATTTTTCAGACTGAAGTGTTTGAGTACAAGTTCAAACTTTCTCTTTTCACCTTATACAATTCATGGCGTTGGCAAGTTAATGGTTTGGGTGAAATATTATAGGGAAGAAAAAGTGATGCACTAAAAATTTATGATTGACAACTCTGAACTCATTGATGTTTTATTATAGAGGAGCTTTATACATTGTCAAAACTCATCATATTTGTATTATTTTCTGTTGCAAATATGAAATGTCTTCTTCAACACTAAAAAGTACCTGCTGTAATGCAGTATAAATGAAGCAGCACATACAGTCATAATTTACAGCCAGTGGACCCAAGACTACCATGTCTTAGCAACAATGTTAATCAGCAAAGCAGAATTACACATCAAACTGTTAAAATTCTCAGATTGTGACATTGCAAGAAGGCACACTTATGAATTAAATTCATTACCAGACACATGGCATTTATTTCAAGTGTCATAATTAATGGCTATTTCAGGCATTCATTAATTACATGAGTGCCCAATATAACACAATGATTCACTGCTTTGTGAATCATTGCTCCCCATTAAGTAGAGTGAAAGAAATGCAGCTGTTCAGAGACCATTTCTTACTAATTTCACTTCTCCACTTTCAACAATATAAAAAGGTTTGCCTTTAAGTGGCTGTTTTTCCACCTGTCAGCCCCAATCCAGACATGATTCATACATATAGTAGTAATGCTGAGAGATGCAATACACTTACTAAAACCTATGTATAAAGCATTATACTCATCTGTTAATTTTAAACAAAAAAGCGGGCATCATCTTCCAAATCAGCCAAGTTTACAGAATAGTTTGAGTTCCAGTCTCGTTCAAACAGCTTCTTTAGCTGATACTGAGCTGTCTCACCAGCTCCTGTGCCATTTTCTGAAGACTGATTAATAATCAGACCTACCCCAGTTGTAGAATTGAAGTAGTCAAAGGACCAGTTTGATGTACCTAGAAGTTGAGATTTGTTTGGTTTAAAAATAGTCTGTTGAAGTTTGAAAGAAAACTTTTCAATGAACTTTGATCTGTATTCATTTATCCATAAAAAGCAGAAATACAGTGAAAAATTAAATGTTTTCTACCATACAGCAGAGAGCGAATGACTTTGTGCAACTTTTGAATACTCACAGCTACACTAAGTGGTATCACAGAGTGTTTGATACTTTACAAAAATCCCTTTGATTCTTACATAGTGACAATTTTTTATACTGCCATTTATCCAAGTTTAAAGTACGCTCTGGAATTTTTCCTCATTTACTTGTGGTTTAGTACTGACACCACAGGTGGATGACATATTAATTTCTTACCTACATATGCCACATTCTCTGTCACAAAGTACTTGTTGTGAAACACTCTCGCATATGGTATGTTGCTGTGCTTTCCCACAGGAACAATGAACAGTTTCTGTCAAAAAGGTGAAACATTTATAAATTAACGTTGAAAAGAAAGTTTGTGAGAATCAACAGTGACACATTGTTTTTTGCAGAAAGAGAGTCAAAGCTTGGCACAATTTCAAGATATTTAATTATTTATTGGTTTTTTTTTACGCAAACTAAGAAGTAAATGAAAAGAATCCCCAACAATTCTTTGAGGCACATTATCTAAAAAAAGTCACCATCAATGGTCAAATTTTCCACGTGAAATATTACATTTTATATGAAGGATCAATGCTGTCAGTGACTTTTATAAAAATAGATTACTCACCACTTCAAAATGGACTTTTCTGATCATTGTAAGGACATGCAGTGATTTAAGGTAAGACAACATGGATTTGTCTGTATGACGCCAGTAACCCATCAACATTTTAACATGCACATGTCGCTCAATAGCTGCTCTTCTCAGTGAGTCGTCAATATGTGGCCAATACCTAGGTTGTAAAGTGAAATGTAGTTCTTCATCTGTAATGAAATTTCTAATGCCTATCCACATCGCACTGATCATCTACGTTACTTACAATTCTTGATGTAGAAACCGTGATGTTGGAAAATATTCCATGACAGACACGTACAGAAATTGTTTTGCGGTGTCAATACCGCTGAGAATAGCATCAAGGTCAGGAGTTCGTCCCTTTGGACATAGGTTAGGAGGCGAACTCTGCAATAAAGGACAACTTTTGGGTGATTTGGCACATTCTAACCCAACTCTAATATAAAAACTAACTCTGATGCAGAACCAATATCCAAAGCCCTGATATAGTATGTGTGCATACTTTTGCTAACAGTGTATCCACATAAAATAAGTTAGAACATTCTTGCATCTCAGGCATGGTCAAACCACACTAAACAACAATAACAAATTTCATTTGTATAGTGCCTTTCATTTTGGGAGGCATTTCATGGATGGTCAAGGATTTTCACCTAAGATGGGACTTGGAATCATGAGGGATGGAGGGCAAGGAAGGTGGGGGTATAAGGGTGACCAAAGACGCGGTCAAAGAGAAGGGTCTTAAGGAGTGTCTTGAAGGAGGTAAGAGAGGGGTCGAGGCAAAGGGACAGAAGACCTGACTGATCAACAATGCCATTTAGGTCAAACTGAAACTTGGCGCAGATTTGCACTGCACTTGGATACATTTCAAGAGCATTTCAAGAGCTGAACCCTGCACAAGTGTTAAGAATTCCACGTTGAAATAATTATCCTGATGGCAAAATATATTAACATTTTCTTTGTTTCCATACATTTCCTGGTGCAGACAGAAAATATACAAGACGACCGTTAAAGAAATAAAGGGGGAAACGTGCTTTATTGCACAGGAAACATCTGCTTCTGATTTTAGAACATTGCTTATCCCAAGCAGATGTGGACAGCATCTGCTAAATCCATCAATTGATTGTTATATATCTATTTCTCAAGTTTCCTCATCTCACTGCTCTGAACATTTATTGAGCATGTGCTTTGGTTTTCTCGGTAATTGCTTGCAAAATTATTCGTTGCTATAATTAAGACGTCAATGCCTGCTTTACTGATGTTAACTCTTTCATCCACAGAAGATCATTGTAAAATGTAGCTTGTGTTTAGTGGAAGACTGAATTATTGTTATTGTTCCAGCTCCTTGGGATGTCTCCTGATGTGAAGGGAACAATATCAATGCAATTTGTTGTTGTTATTGTGACTGTGCATTTGTAGCTAAATGAGGCAGCTAATTTGCACACACCAATGCTCCCCAAACAGCCATGAAGTGGTTTTCTTAAAAAACCTGGGGGAATGTTGGCGAGGACACAAGGAGAACCTCCCTTCTCTTTTCAAATAGTGCCATAGATATTCAAAATCCATTGAACAGACAAACGGGAGCTCGATTTAACATGCCAGTGGAAACATGACACTTCTGTCAATGCAGCAGTGTATTGGGTGGAGGGAAAGGGAGGTGGGATTTATCGACTGGTTGGCAATTGCACTGGTCTTTACTAAATTTACAATGGAATGTTCTTGCATTGCCAAGTTTGTAAATTTACTGATTATCAAAGAATCAACCCACCCACCTCCCGATACCGTAGAAAGAGTTAAATATACATATTGTTTACTAAGGTGTAGCTTGGTGCTTCCTGTGTGGGCCTACAAACTAACCAGACATTTTTCAGTCATGCAGACCTGCACTAATGAATGGTATGTACTAATTAGGTGCGCAGATATGTTGCATCAGTGTCAATGAAACCTATTCACACGTTCTTAATCACTTACTAACACAAACAAAATTCACAGTCTCTCCTAATGAACCTGCTTGTTGACATGCAAAGTAGAAGTTATTTATGCAATTGAGCATAACAACACCAATTGATTACCAGGCAGGGTGTGTTATATTTTATATGCTGCACAGTGCAATTACTGTGTTTCTAGGAATCGAAAGACCATTGTATCCACTCACTGAGAAATATGCCTCTGCAGCAGTTCCATTCAGTTTTATTTTGAGAGGCGTCTCCTTGTTAAATGTGGTGGAGTAACTTGATGGCCACGGAGAAGGAATGGTGGCATTAGACTGGCCGAGATCCCAGTAAGCTTCAAAGATTTTGGAGAAATCATTGGCAAGGCAGCTGCAGTTATAAATCACGGCGCCCAGCTCTTTCACCTGCAAGAAATTACACGGAAATGATCTGTGATCATATCTGATAATATAATAGGGTCCAATTTCCCAGCTAATTGTAGGCATACTAATTTGTTGCACACACTACTAGATCGTACAACTCAGCTTATCAACTCAGTTCATATGATGGGTGGCCTTCGCCTCGTGGTTGTGCTATGGTCCTCCTCCAACCAGAAAAAGATATAAAATTGAAACAAACAAACATCTTGCTACATTAATCTGAGTTGAATCACACTGATAACAGGTTTCAAACAGATTTTAGGAGGTCAGAGTTTTACCTTAAAGTAAATAATGTTAAGATTGGCACAATGAGGTGTAAATGCATTTATTTCTGACATATGGTTAAATTCTGTTTTTAAAATGTTTCTTTCTCACCATCCTTCATAAAGATTGATAAGATTGAAGGATATTCACGTGAGTTTTGGGAACACACAGAGGTTTGAGTGCTGATAATCTCTGTCCTTCCATTTGTGGTTTATGGTGTTGAAGGTCAGGAAACAAGAGACAAAGTCCAAAGGATAGCAATACAAGGGAACAAATACTTCTATGTGCAACTGAAATCTGCTGTGAAAATGTAAATAAACAGATGTGAAGAATTGTTCTTGTGGACATACATACATCCTCCCTCCCCGTATAACAATATATATATATTACTGGACAACATTATAAGACATCAAAGAATGAAGATCCTAAAAGTATGGAGTCTCATGTTCTTTTTAAATTGCCATTCACCAAATATAGTAAGACTTTGGCTTAGTAGGAAAAGGAAGGAGAGGGAGTGGATCATTTGGAATCGGACGAGACCGACAAATGTACAGTTCTTCCTTGGCTTATAAATCTGAAGAATGTTCGGTAAAACAGCAGCATTGCAATCCTGCAGATGCTGTCTATTAGTTCCCCAAGCACACAAGTAGAAATCTAGTGGAATGATGTTGTTCAAATATTTCGTATTCAAAAAATGATAACATTGCAAAGTGCATTCAGTTGATATTTTCCACGTGACACAACCTTTGGTTTCCACCTAATGGAATCTAAGCTTCACTTCAAATTCATAAAGTTTGTGTGCCTGAAAAGATGGGATACAAGTGTCTATAACACATCCAAAATGACTTGAGGTAGGAAGTTGGGTTCTGAAAAAAGTACAATAAGGCAGGCATTTCTCTCACCTGAGTGAGTGATCTCCAATCCATATTCGCACTACCGATGTAAATGTGTTTCTTATCTACAATCCAGAATTTTGTGTGCAATACACCTTTCGTTAACCTATCAAAGTTCACCTTTCTTACTTGAATTCCTGCAACAAAATAAATAGTATGTTCAAAACATTGAGCACCAGCATTAAACCATACATTGTTGCATCTGTAATAAAAATCAAACAAATGTGATAGCTTAATTTGAGATGTAAAACTATCAAGTGCTGCTAGGAAGTAGACATTCTAAATTTCACAGCAAACCACCTCTTTAGTAGTAAATGTCATTTTTTAAAATCTTTTCTATGTCTTTATTTTAAAGTGTTAGCCTTACTATCATTTTTTTCACAAATCAATTTAAAGAACCACAATTAACTTTACAAACCTTGATTTTCTTTGTATTTTTAAAACCTATAAAATCAAGTTATGTGATTATTTTACTTGACAGGCTTGCCTCTGAATTCCTCAAAGTACTTCTGAGGGTTTATCAAGTCAAATTGGAAAAGCAAATGAAAGTTGGACCTTTTCATACACATAAAATGTGCACACAGGAAACACACAAAGTATAGAGTATTATAAGACTTATAAAAATGAAATAACTTTTCCACGACACAATCTAGCACTAAAACAGTGGTTGCTCTCCTAACCATAGTCTCATTTCCTAACAAGCTTATGATAACTGACCATAGTAAAATCAGACATATCAAACAAATGTTCACTTTTTACCTTTCTCCTTAAGAATTTTGAGGTCGGTGGAAACCAGGTGTGGAAGTGACCTTGCACTTGTTGCAATGCGAACACTGACATTACGTAATGGCAATTTCCCCAGTTCTTGAAGGAGGAGTTCACCCTTTTCGGACATCAAAAATAAATAAGACATTAAGACAAGAAACCATAGAATGGAAAAGGTCAAATGGATAACTTTACTTTGACAACTCGGAAGGGATGGCAAAGTAAGTAGGGAGGAATTGGTACAAAAACAACGAGAGTATAACAGCCAAAAGAATGCAGTACTACACCAACAACAAAATTACATTGGTATAGCGCCTTTCACATTGGGAGAACGTCCCAAGGCCCTGGACAGACAGTTTTGGATCTGAGCTGGGGGGTTGGGATCGGGGAGGGTGGAGGGCATGTGGGGGAAGCAAGGAGATTGAAATTAAATACTAAGACAGCATCATATTGTATGTTCATTGTAATCAGCTAGGACAGTAACCAGAAGCTATTTTTTTGTAACTTACAGGCTTGGAGGTGGGGTCGGTGACATTTATATCACTCCCAGCAAGAGTCCAATAAAAGGAGGCAATATCCAGGCTACTTTGGACTATCTTGATGAGATCCATCCAAGAGTAGTATATGGATTGATATTTGGCAGCACTTTCTTCATAGGCCATATCACATGGAATAGTTTCTACCAGAACAAAACTGTGAGAGAATGTGGTTATCGGTTAGCTGCTCTATCAGGGAGGCAAAAAGTTCATGCAATAATGTGGATCTAGTGTAATCTTTGATTTGTATCTTGAAGTAAATTTGTTCAGATTTTTCCCATTGCACTGCATATTTCCTTGAATAAATTAAACAGCTCTAATAAAAAAAGGAGCAATAGGCTGCTTCGATACACTGAAACGTCTGCCTTTCATTTGTTTTATAATATTTATATAACATTTATTATATTTGCCTTGGCAAATAAATGATTTACATTCATAAGACTTGAGCGATTTGGTGAAGTTGCTGGTTCACATCTACCTTTTTTTAAAATATGTGTACCCATCATTAAAAAATACTATTTTGGTCACTCAATCCACGATTATTTGTGGGACATTACTGTGCGGAACTGGCTGCTGCATTTCACCCACAAAATATAGTCAATTCACTTTACAGTATATTCTGTGAAGACGTTTGAAAGGTCTCAACATGTGATAAGGCGCTATATCAAATGCAAGGATTATTATTATTATCATCATCATCGCTCCTGTAAAAGGTTTCTGTGGCAGTTTTAAGATTTTGTTGGTGAAATGCACTTCAAGAATGCCTGAAAGGCTTTTTTTCCTCTTCAGGGCTAATACAACTTTTGCAATCCTGTTGATTTACCTGCAGGGATCATCACAAGAAGCTTTGGTTGCAACTTCCCCGATCTTGTCGGGGTCTGTGGCGTATTCTGCTAACTTGGGGTTGAACAGATCAAACATAATTACCACCAGGCAGAAAGTGAAGAATATGCACAGAACAGTTGGTCCTCGGTGCTGAAAAACAATCACAAGGCATAATAAGCTTGAAAAGCAGAAGCAACAGAGTCCTCCAGTCTGCAATCTTACTGTAAGTTTTCCTCTTCTTTTTGCCTTCAATTTCTCAACAATTATTCTGATCCAAGCGCTCTGAGACGCTACCCTGAGTGAAGGACGCTTCAGAAATGCAAGTTGTTTTTGTTGTTGATCAGGGTTCTACAAAATGCAGTTTTTTCACCCTGCAATAGTACTATTGCTACTATTGTTTTGCTCAAACAATGCACAGAAAAAAATAAAAGATGGAGAAAATAGGTATATCGTCTATTTCGAACGCTACTTTAGAATTCTTTTCTCAGCGTCTTCCCGGCTTCCATGATTTGTTTTAGTAACTTTTAGTGAGTTAGTAAGGTTGATTGGTAAAATAAGCTAAACTTTACTAACATTATAAAAGATACCTCATAGAACCACTTAAAACCTTATATTCTAAAACTGACTTCAGAAAGTAAAAAACACTCAATTTGAACAAATGAAACGTACCATTTATTTAACATTATTCCTTATGTTTCAACAAATTAAAACTGTGTTTAATATTGCTAAAACGTGAATAGTTAAAATGTTAAAGTATCATGCTAAGTTTTAAAAGATTTTAAAAATGTAATTTCAATTGACTCATTTAATCTGCATTGCAAACCATATTGCAGATTGACACATACCAAGACTATTACTGTAAATTTGTATGAAATCTGACTGTTGGGACTCTAAATTGGCTGCCATGTGCATAAAATATAGTTAATTCACTTTACAGTATATTCTGTGAAGCGCTTTGAGACATCTCGATGAACTGATAAGGTGCTATATCAAATGCAAGGACTTTTATTATATATTATTATTATTAAAAAATAACTGCACGTGGCTTGGGTCTCATTACCTACCTGTTTGTTGTTGCCTTTCCGATGACTTGCAACATTTAGACATAAAGGTTCTTCGTACAGAGCTTGTGAAACTTGATTTTCTGGGTTCTTGAAGGGCTTCATTTATATTAGATAAAATTGAAATCTTCTGTAGAACGTGAAGACTATTTTATCAAAGAGTATTAAATCACAATTATTGGAGCAGGACAAAATATCAACAATCAAACCACAGAAATATTAAACGGGTCAAGCCTCTCTCAAGACCAAAAGCAAATGTTTCACGTATTCTGGGTTATTCTGAACTCCTTGAAAGGTTGTGAACAGAAAAGCTATATGTTTCTCTGACACTAGGTGGCACGGTGCAGCTTTAAAATGCAAAAGTTAACAATCATCTTAGGGATCTTATTGTAACACAACTAAATCAACTTCTCGCACTCCTTTTGCGAACTAAATGTTTGTAAATTTTATGTGCTTCCACTTACATCAGTACTTACAAAATGGTTGCTGCCCTCAAAATCCCCTGTGATTCATTTCTGAAATGTCTGGGTTTTCGGTACGAGGAAGGTGGTAGAGTTGGTAAACTCCAAAAAGCAAATGTGTTTCAGGGTCTTCTTCATTATCTTGTTTTTCCCCAAACAAGCTCTATTTGGGAGTCAAAAGTTAATAAAATATCTGTGGTCCAAAAAGGAGTTTTGAACTATTTGAAAGGGTGAATTACTCAATGAGGACTTTCATGAAATCATTATTTTTTAGTCTGTAGGTTTGTGGTATTACAAGTAAAACTCACATAAATCGTATCAATCGGGATCACAATTCATAAGACTTACAGGAAGTATGAGTTACAGGCAAGTTTAAATTATTTAAAATCCGATAAATCATATAAAATCCGATTTAATCAATAATCTACACTACACATTGCCGTGCAAGCGAGACACCTGGGTTCAATTCCCGGCAGGTCGAAACCTTGGGCAAGTTTCCTTACTCCACACAACTAATAATAATCCCTCCAAAAGAAAAACAATAATAAATTGGTCATTTTCAATCTACGACTGTTTGTGGGACATTGCTGTGCGCAATTGGCTGCCGCGTTCGCCCACAAATATACAGTCAATTCACTTTACAGTCTATTCTGTGAAGCGCTTTGAGACCTCGAGAAGACGTGAAAAGCGCTATATCAAATGCAAGGATTATTATTATTATTACACATGTATACTAAAATGCAACTGGTAAGTGGACATGCGGTGTTGCAAGTCAGTATTTTGCTTTATAAAATACAACTAGAATAAAGAAATTTAAGGATTCTTTGGTAGGAAACTGAATGGGACTCGGGTACATGTTTGACTTAGGCGACTGTAAGATTTATAAAGTTAAGATTCATGTGAGTTTTAATGTATTGACTGACTATTCAAAGTACGTATGCCAGTGTGGCATGCGACCATGTAAGAATCCAATCCACAATATTAGCTGAAGCAATGGTTAACTCCGTAGGAATGCACTCAGCACAGACTAGCGATCATTAGGCAGATACTCATCTTTCAAGCATATATCAGTGCCTTTCAATAATCAACCACCAGAAGTTGGCTTGAAGGTCAGAAGTTGATTTGCTTCTCCTGTGCAGAAAAGCCTCCATTTAGTTTTGAACTTAGTGGCATTTGCCATCTTTTCATAAACAGATGAGCTAAAATCAGGAACTTAAATAATTTAAAGCAGGATTGTTTTGTTCTGAATCAGAATATTTTGTTCTGAATCAAACACATGAAACAATTCTGACTTTGAATTTAGTTCCTATTTAACCTTGATTGCAGAATGAATTCTTAAAGGTTATGAAAGAGCTTTATTTTACATTGAAACACATTTTAATAACACAGTAGTTTATAACACCAAATAGCACAGAAAATAACAACAGTGGATTATTTTTCGACAAAGATCATCAGTAATGAAGTCCGACCGAAAGAAGAACCAAGATGGAAGTTTCACTTCTTTGTATCTAACTTATTATTATTTATTATTATCCGACATTAGATAGATAGCATTTGGTGTTACAAAGCTTCTCCATACTTCCTGTTATTTCTTTCCCTGATAAATTATTTTTTTGTAAAAAATTTTTTTGCATTATTTGACCATAATAAAAATAAAACTATGGGAAACCCATATTCTAACACAGTATTTTGAAGCCATTGAAAATCAGCACCTGAGAGAGGTTCAAGAGAATCTGGATTCAGTTTACGATCGTGGGATTGGTTTCATGTCAAAATGGTAGATCCTATTAATACACCTTTTTGTCGCAGAAAAGCTAAAATCAGGAACTTAAAAGGTCATGTTTTGTTCTGAATCAGGTACACCAACAACCATGAAGTACATTTATAATTTATCTGGAGTTTTGTTAACTAGGATACCAGGAGAAATCGCAGGAACAAAGAAAGGTTGAGGAATGGTGAGTGAACAGGATTATCTGAACATTCAGTTGCATATGTTGCATCATATGTTGCATCATATGCTGAATAAATAGAAACATTGTAGAGTTGCTTAAAACCGCAACTAATATATGGGCAATATTGTTGTATCATACTCTGAATAAGTAGAAACATTGTACATAATAATAATCCTTGCATTTGATATAGCGCTTTTCACGTCTTCTAAACGTCCCAAAGCGCTTCACAGAATATACTGTAAAGTGAATTGACTGTATATTTGTGGGTGAACGCGGCAGCCAATTGCGCACAGCAATGTCCCGCAGACAGTCGTGGATTGAAAATGACCAATTTATTATTTGCTTTGTTTTTTTGGAGGGATTATTATTAGGCTCTGTGTGGAGTAAGGAAACTTGCCCAAGGTTTCGCCCTGTGCCTGGAATTGAACTCAGGTCTCTCGCTTGCAAAGCGAGTGCTCTAACCGCTGAGGTACAGGACTCTACCATAATACCTGCACTTGATATAGAACTTTATCATGTCACTGAGTTCTCTCGAAGAGCTTCACAATACACTGTAAAGTGAATTGACTGTATATTTTGTGGGCACAAATTCTTTACAAACTTTTTTTCCCCAGGGATAATGTTAATTACCTTTCACTCAATGATTCACACAACCCTAACCCAAGAATTCCTAATGCAGTGGGGTCTGAGAAAGATATTTCACAAAAGATCACGCACAGCTTCTATTGAACTGCGTTACAAATTCTAGCCTGAACTTTTATTCAAATATTACACACTTCTATTTTGGAAACACACATCGCTCTGTATTTTATATTTTGCTGAATAAACCTACTAACCAGAACCACTTACGAGGGAGTATATGCAACTGAGTGTTCAGATAATCCTGTTCACTCACCATTCCTCAACCTTTCTTTGTTCCTGCGATTTAGGTTATGAAATTAGTGTCGAGGGACATCCCAGGAGCAGATGTTTATTATAGAATCTCTTTCGATGACAGAGAAGAACGAATGCTCTGCGGGCTCACTGTCTTTTTGCAATATCAATGAGTAAAATACAGGAACAAAGAAACGCCAGTAAGCAGACAAATACAACTTTTTAAGAACGTGTAAATTCTGATTTGTGCATTTCCCTTTTAAAGTTCTACAAGGTGTTTTAACTGAAACGATTACAGCTGCACTCAGACTTCTGCAAAAAATAGAAATGCTTAAATTATATTTGCCTATAAAATTGATACAATATGTTCATAATATAGGGAATACAATCAAACATGTAAGGACCTGGATTCACATATAAGCTAAAATTGCAGATTAATACTTACCAGTATTCTGAATAAAATGACTTGTCCAGAAGCTGTGTGGCTACTTAAGCAATTTATTTTTTCATTCAAACTGTGCAGCTGCTATGACGTAACGAAACTCAGTTTTATATTTTACGACTGTTATTCAAGTGCCCACTTCCTTTTTTAAAGTTCAGCTCACTTCTGGTAAATACATTTCATGGTCAAATAATTCACATTTAAGTAAACAGAGTTTTTTTCTTTGCAACACTGAATGCAAGTTGAGGAGTTTTTGTATCATGGGACGGATGGTAAGATACCATTTCATACATTACTTAATAAGATGACCGATAGCCCCCAAATCTCCCTTCTTAGATAGATCTTCTAGCTGTTGAGGTTTATAATTGTTTAGCAAATTTACTGATTGTTTCCCATAGCACAAAAAACTCGAGGCAATATTCATCCAATGGGCAGAGACATCAATTATACCCAAATAGCAATGGCCTCTATCTTTGAGCACTTTATTCAGACATCCTCCTATAAGGCACAATATCAAACGCAAGATTTATTTTTATAATTTTCCATCTCCTACCTCAGCTAGTTTATGGCAGAACATTGGTAGGCAGTTTGTGGTGTGAACTCTCAAGGAATAGGAACTAAGACAGCTCACAATTTCACAAAAGGACAGTTCCAGCAAACCTCCCCACCTCCCCCCACCAACATCCTCCTGTCTGTCAAAGTAGGGGTAGTTCTGTAACCATGCTGTGAAGTTTAACAAAATAAGTGTGAACAAATAAATTGATCACCTATTCAACTGAATACTCACTTTTGTACTTTAAGAATAGGATTTGTACGCCAACTTCATGGATTACCATGACACACTGCAATGGCTATGAAGAATGGTTTATTATAATCAAGTTCCATGGCAAAAATTAAATAGCAATTCAAAATTATTCTGATATGCAAAACAATTTAAAATCAGAAATTCTTTCATCCTAACAAAATTTACATACAATGTCATTTAATGTAAGGCAACAAAATAAATTACACCATGGCAATTGGCCAAAATAATGGAAGAACGCTGAAAATATTCAGCTTTATACAACAGTGTGCAAAAAGTCAAATATACCATCCAGTGAAAGCTGAAGAGCACATAGATATACAAGTATAGTACCAAAAAAGAAATTACACGATCCATCTTGGAAATGAAAGCTGTACAGTTGCAATTCTCTTGTGTAATTAAAGTTGGTTTCGTTACATGCAAAACAATAAAATGAACCACAAAACAGTAGCAGCACATTAGCAACAAGTGCTAAGACAATTCAGTTCAGAACATTCTATTCCTACACAGACAGATAGGACATTATAATGATGCAAATAACCATTCTTCCTGCATGGATTCCAAGACTTTTAAGTGACGTTTTAACTTCTAGAGGAAGTATTTAATGTACCCAATTTTAAATTGAGAATTTAAGATATTTTTCTCTCCATTTAAAATCTTTCACATTTCTTGGCATAATTGTAATATTGGCATAATTGTAATTTGACAGCTATTAAAAAATAATAGAAAGGTCCTCTTAAAAATGTAAACCTTTAACATAAATCACATTGTGTTCTTTTTGCAATGGATATTAAGTTTTAGAAGTTAGTGTTGTATCCTTCAGCTGTAACATCATTACCTTCTTCAAAGCAACTGTCTCGATCGGTGTTTAATTAGGAAAACATAAATAGTTACTGCTGCACGTAAAACCAAAAAGGGATCCACGGATGAAAAGTAAATGTGCACTGCATTATTTACAATTTAAACTATAACTTGAATAGACGTTAAACAGAAATTAAACAGAAAAAAGGCAATAACGACCACATAACGACCCAATGATTTAGTACATTCTTGCTTCACAGGACCATATAGTACACACAACACAAATATTGTATATATATATGTGAGACTTGTGTAATATGCATGGTTGTTGTACCCTTCTGAGATGCTGGACTGAGGATGATAGCCACATTTATAACTGAATCAGTGTCACATACAAGGTCTTAAGCAATAGCTAGCATACAAACGTACATACAGGGCACATATAGGAAATTGCTAAACTAATCATATAGGTCACAGGCAAATAGTTGGTCACATTTTGCCTTGTGTACTGCTGATACTCTTTTTCACTTATTCAGCTACTACGTAGTTCTGGAAACTGCTGCATGAAGACAGTTTATTTTGTTTAAACCAACTAAGAAAGCTTAGTTCATCAATTGATCACGGAGGCAGATCTATTGTGATTTCAACAGGTAGAAGTGCAAGAGAAAATAATCTGATCTTTGTCTCAGTTATTATGATGAATAGATTTGCTGAAGTGCTGAATAACATTTGCCAGATCAAAGGCCGTGAAACAGTTCTGAAGTGTATCATCATACTAATAACTATTGGAATGTACAAGATTTAAAGATTCCAACTTTCACAGAACTTATTCATTGAGGTTTTACACAATATTAACAGTCCAGTCCATCACGACGAAGATCCTAAGAGGTTTGCAAAGAAACTTATAATCCTTTTAGGTCTTACCCCTGAATAGAAATCAAAGTTTGATGCATAATTCAACTTTTTTTTTAACGCAACAATGAATGCCGACTACATTATAATTTGTATTCATCCAATTCAGAAAATAGATTTTGGGCAGGTTTAGCAATTAGTGTTGAGCATAAGTAACCATTTTTGCCAAGTTAAAAGTTAGAATTTTGTTACAGAAATATTTCAAAGATTATTAATCTTTGTTATTTCTCAAAGTGCAACACTTAGAATCATCTGGCAACTCTACAGCTAGAGTATAGTTTCACGTGGAATTATCCAGATATCATCACTCGAAGCACTGTTTCAAATGTCACTCGCATGCCCTGGCCTCCCAAAAGGAGAATTTCATAGATTTTTGCCTGAGGTGCTAGAAGAAGCATTAAGTCAGTCAAAGAAGTTGGTCAGAGGACAATCCTGTCCCATACAGCCCACCCCCGGTCAGTCAATACAGATTTTAGTACCAGTAGAAGCTACAGAGAAGTTTGTTGACCAAACTGTGCTAGCTACACTTTGAAGGAGGTGGCATACAGCTCAGTGGAAACAGGAAAAGCTTCAAAGAAACACAATTTCCATATTGACTCTGCTACTTCAGGCTTGACATTTCAATAATTGACATAGCATTTGTGCACTACATTTTCTGGTTTGAATGCGTCTGCTTTGTTGTCATATAAAACTGAGTGGCCAACCTTTCCAGATGTTATGAATTATACTAAAAGTTGATAGTTATGTGGAAATGTGTTTACTTGTGTATTTAAATGTGTCGTTTCTTTTTTTTAAATTAGTCTCTTCCAGCATAAGTGAGTTACAATGCCTACGTGCACATGCTATAGTTATAACAAAAGAACACACAGCAACTCCAAACAGCTAAATTAAGCAACGTGATAGGAGGAAGCAAATGATTAATTTTATCCCTTCCATTAGATTTAATATTAAACAAGCACATTGATCTAATTAACGTTAGATAACATATGGCATAACATTGTTATGTCAGAAGATGGCATAAAATGAGAATGGAGAATATGCAGTCATTGCTCAACTGTTGCTCATTTGTGCTGAAACCTGGCATGCAGAGGTACAACCTGTGCAATTAATTTTCTTCTTCAGTGCATGATAATGGCATACAGTATTTAAATGGCATAGCCTGTGTGGAACTGAAATACCCTGCAGAACTCTAGTTTGATTCTATCTGGCCTCTCTGCAGAACATGTGCTGCTCCTTGCGTTGTGAAGCCTAACTAAAAAGACAATATTATCCCTATATTCCACCTTTTCAATAAGTACTTTTTGTGCAATATATCACTTACAACATTATTCTATGAAGCGTTTCACAACCACCCATACAGAAATTGACAAAACACTGATCAAATAATAGCAAAAACAAAAATAAAACATACCACTCATTCAGAGCATAGTGCCTATGTCTTACACATTTGATTAAACCATGGTATATTGAGTGTTGCATTCAGAATCGGACTCAATGCTGTCTGCATCTGAAGATATCTGAGGTGGTTTAGTGGTGGTGCGTACATGCTCCTTCAATAATGGTGTTGTTGATTTTGGCAAATCCTTTGATGATTCCACAGAATAAGCAGTCCTTTCTTTCATGTTCATGGCTGCAGCAGAACTCGATGAGATTTGATTTCCAGTCAAAGCATCCAATGATCCATCTGGATCTATGATTGTATCGATTACTGTGAAACAACAGAGGTTAGTTAGTATCTCTGTGCTACTAATAAAAAGTGTCATCAGTCACATGATTAGCATACACCACATGCCAGTGTGCAAGAGTGACCGGCTATAAAATAGCTGTTCGAACAATCAAGAGGACTTCTCACCATTGCCAAGCTGGTCAAGGCCTTGCCTGAGGGTAAGAAGCCCAAGAAGCTCAAATCCGAGCCTGCACTGAGTTAGCTGTAGTCAGCAATGGCAGTGGATGGAGATTCTATATTTAGTATGGGTTAGGGAGACAGCATTCCTGTTTCCGAATACTATGAAGTAACTCCAGACCAGAACAAACTTGGGCTTGGTTTGTTATTTTAACAGTAGAACAGCCTGCTGGAACTGATTGTTGAGTCTCCAATGGACCGGCAAATTAGACAAGGTACTAGAAAGCCGTCTACAAATATGGATCAGAACTCAAGCACACTGAGTATTGTAGGGGATGGGAGAAAATGGGAAAGAAATTAAATTGATAATCAGGAGAATTTTTTTTTTAAAAAATGCACAAGTTACATTAAGTGAGATAATTTAATCTTACTAACCTTCCAATTGCTTCTGAACTCTTCTCAAGTCCTTAAAGATGGAGGATATTTCCTGCAACAGAAAAGACCAAGTTAATACATTTACAACATCAGAAAAGACCAAGTTAATAATTAATAACTTTTTGAACTATGAACGGAACATTTAAAGATCAGTATGTTTAAGCTACTGCTGAGGAAAGGTCATTAATAAATATTTTTAAGTTTGGTTAACAATCTTAAACCACAATACCAATTGAAGGTACAGATACAGAAACTGGATTTGAATAGGTTATTACAAATGCATTCCACCTAAGACGAGTGTTTTCATAATCTAAGCATGGGAATAATTATTTTAAAATAATGGTTATAGCTTTCATAACCTCCTCTGAAAACACTTGCTAAATTTTGCCAATACTCCTATATTAATTCGAATTCCCCTTCTCCCCCACTCAAAAAATAGAACTGACCAATTACCATATCTTAATTCCTTTTGGGACTTAGGGAGCAAGTTTTCATTTAATCACTATTGGTTTATCTATTTTAATGGAGCACACAAATTCTTTCAAATGCAAAATGAGGAAATGAAACTGAACTGAATAAGTGGAGTAGAACAGTCAACACAAGCAACATTAATTAAGCGCCTGTTTTAGGAACTACAGATTAGCAACAATACCTTATTTGATGTTTTGAGAATTGGCACTTCATTTTCAGAATTGATTTTGGCCTCAATTTCTTCCCAGTTCCTTTCCTTGTTTTGAAACAGAATCCTAAAATTCAATAACAAATTTTAAAGATATGGTGTTCAAAAGCCAGTATTAATAATCCCTCCAAAACCCAAAACAATAATAAATTGGTCATTTTCAATCTGCGACTGTTTGTGGGACATTGCTGTGCGCAATTGGCTGCCGCGTTCGCCCACAAAAAATACAGTCAATTCACTTTACAGTGTGTTCTGTGAAGCGCTTTGGGACGTCCTTCCCACGTGAAAACGCTATATCAAATGCAAGGATTATTATTATTAGCTTGGATGTTTGAGAATCAATATTCACACAATTATCTACAATTTAGTATTAAATTAGCCTATCAAAAATAAACATATAAAGTATAATATGTTAAAATAGTAAGTTGACACATTAGGTATCTTAGATAGGCTTGCCTCTCTTGAAGCATCAGATGACTAAAAAAAATCAGAGGCTCAAGATGTCACCATACAAAAAGCAATGAAAAACTGTGTTTTATGATTTCTCTGAATAATGATTCTGTTTCTAATTACCCTGCAGAGAATCATCTATCCCAATCTTACATGATTTAATTTCAATAAATTTACTCACTTTATTTTTGCTGCAGTTTGCTCCATATTTTCTCTTATATACTGTGATAGCTGGGAGACTGAGTTCCACATCAAATTATCCAGTATAACCTGAAATGTGACACATGCTCAGTACACAGTCACCTGCTAAACTAAATCAAGTAAAATGCGTATTCTTGAAGGAGAAAATAAAATCATACTAATCAGAAATAGGTTAGTTTCAGTTTGGTGAGCAGAAAAGAGTTTTAAATATTCAAAATGAACACCTTAAAAACATGACAAGCTTTTGATTTTTCCTAAAAGCTACAACTAAATTAGAAAGGTCAAAGAAAAATTTTCATAGAAAAATGTGCTGCACATGTTTAAAAAGCAACACATTTTTGAAAAAAATCCAAATGATAACACTTTACAAGGATTTAGGAATGTGTTAGCTACAAAACAGGCTTCTAATACTCAACTTCAGTGCTTTAAAGCTTTTTGAAACTTTATTTACCCCAGTACAACTTTTTTGCACATTTAGAAAATACTTGATCAGGAGGGCAGGAACACAACAATCCAAAGCTGCTGTCTATATTCTCTGCTACTGAAGGTGCCAATAACCACTCAGGCACAACTCTCTCCCCTATGTTAAGAGCTTCCACAACCTAGGCTTGGTGCATACACTTGTCAATTTGTTGGTGTGATTACTTAACACTCCTGTACAAATTCAGACATCCCATCCAAATCAATGATGGCTTACAATATGCTATTTAATAATCCTCAGATATGATATTTGTCTAAAACGTATCAGGTGCAACGATTTATCAAGTTTTGTTTAAACAATTTTTTAAAAAAATAATTAAATTCTTACAGATGAGCCTTTTTTTTGTGAAAAAACACCCACCCAGTATTTAATGATAAAGTCTACAACCACAGCATATAAAGTCTATTTCAAAATCCTAACTACCATCAAAGAAAAAGGTTATTGTTGATATATTGTCAAGTTTACTTATAATGCAACTTCTGTTTTATTAAGTGAAAGGATTAAATAAATTACCTAGGTCCTCAATAAAAATATTGAAGACACACAAAAAACATAGCATTTCTTAAAACTATTGACATTTGTGAACAAACAGAAATCCTCCTACAATTAAAAAAAAAGATTTAGGCTCCCAACAGCCTAAATGTATAAAGGCACTTCCCAATGTAGCATTCTGAGATCTGAACAATGATTCTGTTTCTTTACCATCCTTTTGCTGAAATAAACATTGGATAGATATACTATTGTTGAATGCAGTACTCAGGAGTAGTGAAGTGATAAATGATTTCACGTAGGATATAATTAGAACATCATCAGCACCATCACAGGGTAAATGCCTTGAAAAACTAGTCTACAACCACAGCATCCAAGATAAGATGATGGGCCCATTTTCAGAAGTGGGAATTGATATCATTAAAATATAAAAAAAGAAACAGACAACCTCTTCTCTGGTCCACGTTCTTCGTTTTGAATCTGGATCTTTGTTATCATTCAGATTTTGATCCAAATCTTTCTTAATTCCTGAAGATTCTGGGGGAACCTTTTGGAAGTTCAGACTTGCTTCAGGAATGTGCTGCACCAACTGAAAAAATGTGTAAGCTGCATTTAAAATCTTGGAATTTAAAACATAACATGGTTAAACTTAATGTGAAACGTATATAAATTAAAGTAAAGCAAATGAAAACTAAACAAGGCACCTGCGATGGATGGGACTTCCGTGAAGATGATGTTGATATCTGGGTTTAGAAAATAAGTTAAAATGAAATATTAAAATGAAACATTAAAATCAAATGCTTATACATCTACCAGAACAAAGTTCAACAATTGGAGAAAAGCACCCAATTGTCTGAATCTTAGTGAAGATTCTGATAGAAACTATTTGATTCACAGTCTAGAAAAATCTCAACTGTAAAATAAATAAGTCAAAAAAGTACGAACAAGTGTTGCAACAACTTGCATTTAAATAGTGCCCTTTACACAGGATAGTATCTGAGCATTGCACAGTGATGGAGTTAGGCACTGAGTAAGGGAAAAGTAACCAATATAATAATAATAATACTCCTTGCATTTGATATAGCGCTTTTCACGTCGAGAGGATTTCCCAAAGCACTTCACAGAACACACTGTAAAGCGAATTGACTGTATATTTGTGGGCGAACGGGGCAGCCAATTGCGCACAGCAATGTCCCACAAACAGTCGTAGATTGAAAATGACCAATTTGTTATTGTGTTTGGTTTTGGAGGGATTATTATTAGGCTCTGTGTGGAGTAAGGAAACTTGCCCAAGGTTTCGCCCTCTGCCTGGAATTGAACTCAGGTCTCTCACTTGCAAAGCGAGTGCTCTAACCACTGAGCTACAGGACTCCACAAATATGGTAGGTATGAGCATGTTTTATGATAAGGCAAACATGAGCATGTACTGCAATATGGTGAACATGATCATGTACTCTAAATAAGTCACACAAATGATTTCTCAAATTTATAAATTCCTTATACAATTATAAGTATCAAAAGCTATATAAAGTACCCTCAAATGTATCAATACATTTTCCTGAAATAAAATAAAGATCTGTACATGCTCATCTTTTAAAAAATAAATTTATATTGACTATCTTATAAAATGGCAGACACACACAAGACATTTAATTTACATTTTTAGAATTTTGTAATTGAAGCAAAGTGAAAGATACCAAAGTATATTCTTGACAAATGTTTGCAAAATGTTAGCAAAACCCAGGGCAAATTCTTAAATATGTTTCGAGAATTATGCTTTCCAAGTCACTTAACCTGATATTTCTGGTTAAAACCCTATAACATCTGCAACAATAACATTCCTGTCACCTTAAAGAAACTTGATAACTTCAACAGCCTAAATTACTCGATTTAACTCTCGCTATATCCTTTGTGAAACACAACAACATGCAAGTACTCTCTTACCTCTTCTCTGGCTGAAATCATAGAGCCGGGAGTGCTGGATTTTGGTAATGCAGGGCTTAAGGGACTAAAACAATCTCCATCTCCTGCAACATCATGAATCTCCCTTGCCAGGATTGCCAAATCTTTGGCCAAATCTTGGCTGAGTCTGAAATGCAGTATTTATAATTAACAGTTTAAAACACTAAACACTTGGACAATTTTTGCTATTTTAAAATTATCACTACTCTAAACCTCTGAATAACCAAAATTGTTGAACTCATGCTTGCAAGCATTATTTATTGAGTGAAAAATACCATCAAGTGAGTTACATTTACGTTTGTACTGATAACAGAACTAGGTAATTAAAGCGCTTTGAGATGCTACATCAAAAGCAAGATTATAGATCGTTCTATTTATAACAGAACTAGAAATTGTGAATGACTGTTATAGCTACAACAGCAGGAACTTTAATTATCAAGAGTTTATCTACATTAACCTAGATAATTCTTATAGCTGATATATCACCTATAATTTCAATGTATTTAAAGATGCTGAAACTAGAGAGGGTACTACTACTGGACTGTTTAAAACTGGATAAACTATTCCAACGAGGAGCAGCCAAGTATAAAAGAAAAAGTGTGACATTTCACTTTTGTTTAAAAAAAACGCATGCAATAGTCTTTCATGAACAGCTTATCTGGTACGCAATCTATTTCTATATTTGCAAACAAATGCATCTTAAGCAAGATCGAGACATCCAGCAAGAGTAGGCAGCCAATTTAAACTAGCACAACATTTTCTGGCCACCAGATGGTATAACTGAGTTACAGCCCAAAGAAACTCAACGAGGATACAGGGCTCACCAATGACTGGTAACGCAAAACAGAAATTGTGCCGAGATATCAGCAATTTATAAATATATCAATTTACAATTTAAATCTTGAAGACGTCAGCATGCAATGTTCAATATTTCCCACAAATTAAGAGCTTGAGACAACAATAAGAGAAAGAGAAGCTGTAAATCTGCTGAAATCATTTCAGATTGTACAATAAACAGAAGACTGATATACTCCTAAGTCAGAAATAAACAATTGTAAAATTTGTCAGGCAGGCAGAAGCAGAGAGAGAAAGAGAGAGAGAAGGGGATACAAGCAAAGCAGAGAGGGGTGGGGGGGGGGGGGGTAGAGACACAGAGAGAAATAAGGGTTGTCACAGTGTGGTACAGGAGTGCAGTTCAGGAATAACTAGAGATTTTATATTTGTGTTTAACGTAATGGCCAATTTTCTGCCCATATGTTTATTCGTAACGGAGTCAGGCCCAGTCAATGTAGATAATCAGCTCTCTATCGTAGTGGCATGGGATGTTTTAATGTCCACTTGAAAAACAGGAGACAGGATCTTATTTTAATGTCTCATCTGAAAGAGAGCTTCAAGCAGAAAAATGACAGATCTCCCCATTACTGTATTAGAGAAACAGCCTAGTCGAAGAGGGAAGGTAGTTGCAAAATAGGCACAATAGTATCTGCTTAAACTAAATATCTACATTTTTCTATTAGTGGTCTGAAAATCAAGACCAACTAATGGAAATAAATAAGTGGAAAGGCATTCAATCAAATAATTAGAACAAAATAACTTAGGGTTATTGCTTAAGTGAATACATCTCACAGTAAATATGAAAACCAGCGCCCTCGCCATGAAGCAGTTATGGATGTTTGCTACCGATTAACTTTTTTTAAAAAAAGCATCCATTCTACCTCAGTCTGTCTCATTGCTTTTTGCAAAGGTTTACAGTTAGTTTTGGGAACAGCAGACAATCGAGCATCTTCTTTCAATTAAGTGTCTAAAATCGATGTCAATTATTGAACTTGATGCTTTTCAGTTTCATCAGATTGCACTAATCTGCCAGCTAGCGATAAAAGTGATTTTATGCTGTGGCAAATGCAAATTTGTTTATTACACATACAGTAATAAATTATCCCAATAATTTTCTGTTAGCCAGGTTATTTGAATTCTGTCTGTCAAGTTATCATACAAATTCAACAGAACACAAATGTAATTTTAATTAAAAATTTAAAAACACATAAATACTGTGAAATATGTATGGGAAATGCATTTTTGTCAGTAATCTAATTGATAGATTTGGAGGGTTTTCATAAACCAAACCATTAATAAAGAATGCTGGAGTGATGGAGCTTTGGGACATATTATAAGGCAGGGAATATAATACTGTGTTCAAATGAACCAAGATTTATAAAGATCATCCAAGTCCAGAAATAATTAGTCTTAAAATCATTACCGCATATTCTTCGACAACAACAAAAAAATCAACATCTCATCAAATTAAAGAATAACACATTCTAATTAATGGAACAATTTTCAAAATTAATTTTAAGAATGTTCAAAGGATTACTATTTTCAATACACATCAAACAAGTTAATGTTTAAGGTAACTGTGGCTGACAGCTAAATTAGAATTTCTCTATATACATAGCTTCAACTGTCCGGCAACAGCATTCCATAAAAACTACTTCTCTTTCATAATTAAATCCTTCCTGCAACCTTCTTCTTTTGAAGTGATGAATCATGCAAAGGTATGGTTGCACAGTCACCAGCAGCTGTCTGGTACCACATACAAAAGCCCTGCTTTACATTTGTGAACCTAGACAGCGAGCTTTAACATGTTAATCTGCACATCAAGTTACATCCTACTCAATGTAGGGCTGACCATAAATGGCAACTTCTAGTTATCTAGAAATTTATTGATGACATGTATATCTTCATAATGCAATCTCTACATTTTTCACACATATTAAGCTTTTGGGAATGTTTTTGTTCAACTTTGCATATTTAAATTGACCATGATTTCACAGAGGAGATTTTTCAGGGAGAAAAATGCCCTTTTTACAAATTGGCACCTGTGCTTTGATAACACTTGAAATGTAAATGTACAGTACCGTGCAATCTCTGCACTGTGTGTAGTCCAGTTTTCATATGAATCTTCATCCTCATCATCCTCCATCTCTTTCGTATTCTGCCTTTGTCTTCCTGAATTGCAACTCTGGCTTCTACTGCCATGTGTGGCTGTTGAAGTATGTAAGCGATGTTTAGGAGAAGTGTGACTGGAGCCGTACTCCTCCTCTGAAGTAGAAGTGTAATCGGAAGTTTGTTGTCGCCATCTCGAGTCTTGTAAAATAATTAGTTTGAAACAAAGAGCAAGATAGTGAAAGAAGAACAGCAAAAGGTAGAACACCCCAAGATTTAAAACAAAAGTATATTGAGCAAGATTCCTACAAAGGGAAATCATTTTGAAAATTTGGAAAAGAGGGGGCAGCACTGCTTTAAATTGTGTGAAGTAGCTTGGAATCTTTCTGAAATTTATGATTCTGTTTCACTACCCATGACTGACTATAATTAAAGTGCATAATATTGGTTATGCTGACCATTCAACAATGTAGGTGAGTAAAGCTGGATTCTTGGTTTGAAAATTTGAAGTCTGAGGCCACAAAACAATGACCTGACCTTTTATTAAGGGCATATGTATTAACTATTTTGAGCCAGTCTCCATAAAGTTAAGCTGTAATTTATTTACTCAGCAGTGCAAGTCTGGTGTGTACACAAGGTACATCTTCCCACTTAAGTTACCTTGATGTTTCCAATAGCTACATACACAAAAGCAGTCGAAAAATTGTCATGAGAAAATTTAACAATAATAGGTAGTTCTTGATCCAATCAGCATTTAAAACTCCATTCTGTAGGAATCTGGTTATGATAGTCCATTAAAGTTTAATGTACATTAGTTGAAGGAACAAACAGCTCAGCATGTTCAACTGCCAAGTTGAAAAATAGCCCACAGCAAGAGACTCCAGAAAAGGAACCATACAAACTCACCGAAGTAAGTGTTAAAATGTCAATTTTGGACTTCATTGTACAAGTCTGGATTATGTTGCTCGTTATTAGTTTATTATGTATCACCATTACAAGTCAGTTAGCAAGTCAATATTGTATACAAGAGTTAAGCATACCAATGACAAGACCATATCAAAGGAGAATCCAAAATTTTTAAAAATAATAACCCTTACATTTGATATAATGCCTTTTATGACAGGACGTTTCAAAGCACTTCACGGGATATATTGTAAGGTGGAATGACTGTGTATTCTGTAGGCAAATTTCAATTGGTCCATTCCTTTAAAATGCATTACCCCTCCTTTAACTTCCTCCGTCTTAAATAAAAAAACAACTGAGAATCCAATTAGATGACCTTGTGCAAAGCCTCAACATTGCTTTATTGCTGTGAACCAACTATTATCCAGTCCAAAGGAATGAAGAAACTCTCAATTCACATATCAAAGATCTGAAATTCATATGGGCGATTAGTCACTTATGATAGAATACATAGCTCATTACACACACCCAGCTTGTTCCCTGTAGGATGTTCAATTCCTAACAGTTATGATGATCCTTGCCTCAACCCTAAAACATCTCCTTCATGCTTGTTCACCTAATTTCCTGTAAATTATTTTTTGGGATGTAATCTTTTAAAAATATACTATTTCCCCTGTAGAAGCATCTGACCTTTTTAATGGTAAGCATACAATTATAACATCCAGACTAAATTCTGTTAAGACTATTCTTTCACTTCTTGATAAATAAACTTCATTACCACAATTAAAAAAAAACTATCTATAGACCTGTGTGTTTGACTGAGCTGTTAAAACTTGCAGCTTCAGCCTTTGACAGCATTTGCAATTTCGCACATAAATTAAGGCACTGTAATGGTTACATTCATCATCTTAATACTTCTTTGTAATGTATAAACAAAGTTACAAAAATCATTTTTGCAGAGAAACATTTAAAGTTTAAAATATAGTACACACAGGTTATTTACAGATTTGTGCAATTATATTCACAATTCCAGATTCAAAACATTTAAGTACACATGGTGTGCACCATAATCTAATTCCTAAAATACTTCATATGTTTAAAATGTTGGCTTCCTCAGTTGGGAGCACTCTCATTTCCGAGTCAGAGGACGTGGGTCAAGCCACACATTGGGACTTCAGTTTATAATCAGCGCCTTGGGATGTCCTCCTGACGTGAAAGGCGCTTTATAAATGGAATCTTGTTGTTGTTGTTGTTGTTATAATGTACAGTGACATGCAGGTGCTGTACAAGAGAACTGCAACATTGACTTTCAGAAGAGAGAAACTAAGGTCACATCTGCCTATTTATCAAGTGGACATTAAATCCCATGGCACTCTTGAAAAAGAGGATGGAGTTTCTCAATTTTTCGTGGTCAACAACAGAAACATTAGTCATTCACCTTATGCTTGTTTGGGGGGGCCTTGCTTCTGCAAACAAGTTACCTTGTTTGCCTACAGAAAAAGAGTTGTTACACTTGGCAGCGATGACTTGTGAAGTGCTTTGCGACATTACAGTGTGATAAGGCATGATAAAATGCAAGTTCTTTTTCTTTCCCTATTGATGAAATATATCAAGAGGTTTAATAGCCATTAACAGCAGAGCAGTTTCTTCTCGTTCCAACCCTCTGAAAAGCAGTAGTTCCTTTACACAGCACATTCCTGACTTCAAATCTTAGTGTCAGTTAAAAGAGGCACTAAGTGGTAGTCATGCGAAATGAACGGCAAAATTTTAAACAAGGGCTTAATTCTGAACGTGAGTATAAATAGTTGGCAGTGAATTTAAGTTAGGCATTTATTTTTACATCATCCTTTTCCATGATTAATATATTAACATTGTATATTTACCTATAATCACTGATCTCTTGCCAGTGGAGACAGTGACCCTGAATATCACAATGATCTAAATTTAAACAGGAAACGTGCAAAACAACGTACTTTCAGTTAGTCGCATTAATTTTAACCGCAGTATTAGAATCAATATATCCAAATTAAGACCAAAATAGCAACTCTTGGTGCTACAACAGTTACTTTGATATATATCTGCGTGAAAAGATAAAATGCCATCATTTCTATTAAAACAACTCAAGACTATTTATGCTGCTCAAACTAATGAACAATGTAAACACAGAACACATCTAAATCTTCCACCTCCATTAATTATTTTCCTATAGTAATTAACTAGTGTATGTTCTGTTAAATTGTACTTACTGGTAGCTGATTTTGAACTAGCAGAACGGACCCTTGATGTCTGCTTCATTACATTTCCAGTAGTTTTCCGAGAAGTCTTTTTAGCATCAGCAGTAGATAACTTTCGACTAATAGTTGTAAGATCAACACTTCTTCCACTAAAACTGCTTCTTACAACTGAACTTTCTGTGTCACTATTTACTGAGAATGAACCTGCTCGCTTCCTTGGCAAAGCCAGTAAGTCAAGTCGTGTTAGCTTCTTACTATCAGGTGGCTGCTTTGAATTTGGAGTTGTGGTAGACATTTCTACATCAGCACCTTCGTTATCTGATGCATCTCCAAGACGAGCACGACGCAGCAGTGATGCTCTAGTCGGTCTGGGTGTTGAAAGACTATTTGAACGAGTTAATGTTGTTTGAATACTTGATTTGGCTGCCTTGTTGGATTCCTCTTTTGTTCGCAGAGAAAGCTTTTTACGTAAAAAAGGTTTACAGCTGGCTTGAGCATGCTCTTGATCAGAAGAACCTATATCAGTAACTGGTAAATATGGAAGACTAGATGACCTCTCATCATCTGTAAAGTCCATTGAGCCATGGGATCCTGCACTGCGTTTCAGTTGAAAGCGCCTGGTTGAATTTGGTTTGGTTGTTGCATCTGAAAGCTGGGCTTTACGCTTTTCTGACAATCTTTCACGAGCATTTGGCTGTTGATGCTGATCTGAAACAGATGGAGCTGAAGATGACTGTTCTTTGCGTATGCCACTAAAACTCTTCTGTTTCCACCCAGAGCTTGTGCCATTTTTACTAACTAAACTTACAGAACTCCCTGTGTCATTGTCAGATTCTCCAGACAATGAATCACCTTGTACACAAACATTACTTTCTGGTTGACTCAAGTGACGACTCTGGGAATGCAACTTAGCTTCTAAGGCTGCCATTGCAGCTTCTGTTTCCTTCAAAATGAAGTGAGTGTCGTCACTACAATCTGTACCAATAGAGCTTCTTACATGTTCCTTAACGGTTGGCTGGCTTGAAATATTAGGAATTTTATAACCTGCGTCAATACTCGACTTATCTTTGGTATAACTCTCTTGTCTCACAACGGGTGTACGTGAATTCTTTGTAAAAGTGATTTTTCTTTCTTGTGAAGGGCTCCTATGGGTTACTTTGGTCATTTTTCCAATGGGGTAGTTTAGATTTGCCTTTTTTGTAACAGCATGGTTCGTATCCGGGACCACAGTTGAACATCTTGTAGAGCTGGAATTAATGGCTGATTTTGAGGTAAATTCTCGGCGTTGCTTTCTTTCAAAGCTTGCATAAAACATTTTCGTTTCTGAAGTTTGTCCTGAAGGGCTTTCCAACTCACGTTTTTCTTTTGTACCGCTATAGGAACTAGATTTCACATCAGGTTCCAGGAAACGTTGGAGGTCAGTCTGAGCTGCAGATTCTTTAGTTGTACTTCCATCTGGCACTCGCTTCTGAGTCTCAGACTTCATATCATTCCACACCTGCTCTTGATTCAATTGCTTAGTGGCCCTTGAAACTCTGTGTTTTTTGCCCTTCTGTGTGGAAACAGGTGAATCATCTTCTGATTGGTTATCATCACTCAAACTGTCAGGGTCCACATCTTTGTCTTCATGTATATGCAACTTTTCATGATCTTGTGAAAAATAATGTAATTCCATTTCTCGTTTTAGTGGTTCATTGCAGGGAGGAGAGCGTTGTTGAAGAAAATCTTTCAACTTTGGTCCATCGTTCTTTTCACTTGGTGGCAGTTGTGGAAGTGTCCGCCGTATTCTTGACGATTGGCTTGTTGACGATGCTGCATCTGAATCCAGTGTTTCCAGATTTTTTATAGAGGTTCCAATGTTAACTGTAGTACTATCTTTTTTTTGAGAATAAGAAACAATTAGTTTGAGTAACGCAAGACTAGGATAAAAACAGTTGTTTACTGGCGTACTGTAATGAAATCTAACACACCACTGACGTAATACTCACTTGCTGATTGTTGAAAATCATGTGATCCAACAATAGGCCCAGACCCATTATAGCTGGCAGCAAGACTTGCCCATCGAGATACCCATTTTTGTGTTCCATGGGATACAGGACCTACTGGACGCATCTTCAGTTTTAAGTAAGAGAAGATATTAAACAAAAATACATCTTGAAGTTTATTACAAACAGTACCTTTTTTGTTTCAGGAAAAAAATACTTCTCCATTTTTATCTCATATCAATTAATTCACCATGTACTTCAGCAGTTCCTTAGCAATTTACATTTTGCATGCTATCAGCAACTTAGTTTTCACAAGCTATCTTGTTAGCACAATTAAAACAATGAAAACAAGATTCTGAGATCAACAACATAGGTCAAAAATATTGAATACTGTAATTATAAATTGAGGATACATTCTAGAATCAAACAAGTACTAACTTTCATTTTAAAGAAAAGCAATTTAAAATCAGTTTTGATGCATGCTGAAAATAGAATGAGTGAGACCAATTAAATTGAATCACTAAGATTGGAAACAGACAATTTGGTTGGGAATCTATGTATCAGCTGTGCTACTCACTTAATTACGGTTTTCCCATTAACATTAAGACTGTTTGGAAATCAAAAGAGACTCAAGCTCCAGCTCAAATATAGAACATGATCAATGCAGGTGTCAGCCTGGCTCTATTAGAAGCCCTCTTGTAGCTGGATCAGGGGATTATTCAAACCTCACATTAAGCCCGGTCAAGGCTGACACTCCCACTGTGGTATGAGAAAACGCAGCATTGTCAAAGGTGCTCTTTTGAATGAGATGTTAAAACAATCCAATCAGACTACTTGATAAGAGAAAGGAGATTCTCCCAGTGTCCTGCCCAACCGCCCTCCAGATCAATTGGCTATTCACCTCTTGTTTGTGGCACTTTGTTGGCACAAAACAGGTCACTTCACTTGGCACCAATAATAAAAATAATCCTTGCTGTTGATATAGTGCCTTATCACATTGTTGAGATGTCTCAAAGCGCTTCACAGGATATATTGTGAAGTGGATTGACTGTATTTTGTGGGCGAAACGCAATTATCTGTGAAGTTCTGAGATGTTTCAACATAAGGTGCTATAAACGCTTTCTTTCACTGAACACAACTAACACAATTTATTTTTAAATACAACATTCTGAAATTTTCATTGTCTGTTAAAGTTATTAGGATTAAAAATACAATAATTTCTTTAGATTTATTATTGCAAAAATATTTAGTTATTTTATTATTCGTTACCTGTGCTGGAATGTCTGGACAACCAATAGTAGTGGAATAAGGCTGCAATGAAGGCGTTGGTTGGTAAGCAATGCCATTATTCTGGTTACACAAATTGTGCTGATCTCTCAGTGTCAGTGTAGGAGAACTCGCACCACATATTACAGGTCTATAGGATTCGGAATTAACTCCAGAATAGTCTGACGATTCAAAAACACCAAATACCTAGATGTAAAAATAAAATTGATTGAATGGATACTCAATCTTTTCAAACAAATTAATTGATCATGATCAGCTATTAAGAACGTCAATTTAAATGAGCTATTTACTACTTTATATTTATTTTCTTGCTCAATCTATTCCAACTGAATTTGAGCAACTTTCCAGGTTAGGACATTCACATATACATGTATTTTTAAAAATTAAAACACTCTTTCTCTCTAATGCCCATTTTAGTGTCAACATATTTGTCAAGCTTACACTTTGAATACATATAACCACTATAATCCAAAATTAGCAACACAAGAGCTTTACTAAATTTCCATTTCTTACGAAGGGCGTGGACCCTAAACGTTGACTCACTTTCCTTTCTCCATAGATGCTGCCTGACCTGCTGAGTGTTCCCAGCGACTTCTGTTATTGTTCCATTTCTTACCTGGTCTATCATTTTACGGGCTTCTTCAACCTCTTCATCTTGTTTGTCCGTTTCGATTGTGTATGTGCCTGCGTCACTTAGACTATCTTGCTCACCCTGCTTGAAGGTTTGGGATGCTGGTGAAACTGTTGCAGGGGATGACACTGCTGGAGGTAAGGGTGATGACACAGAGACTGTGGGTGCCATGGTCACATTTGTAGGCGTCATTAAAGGGAGGTTCTCTGATGATTTTTGTACATCGGCAGCATTTCTTGCAGTTTCTTTCAACAATTCAGCAGCGAATTCTTGTCTGAGCTTAGACTTTCGTCCCACGCTTCCAAAACCTCGATATAAACCTTTGGAGGTTGAGGAAGCGGAACTACTGAACCGCTCTTCAGTTTTTTCTCTCTTTAATGAGCTAGACCTCTGGGGACCTGCTGAAATGATACCGGGTCTGCTAACTTGCACCAGGGACTGGGCCTGTTGTACTTTATCTGTTTTTTCACATGTTGAAGGCCCTTTGCGTTTTTCCAGTTTAGTTTTAAGAGCAGCATACAAATCAGTGTGCGCGGCATTTGCATTTTGGGTGAAAGAATGTGCTCTTCTTTTACGAGGATTATCATCATCAAAGAATTCAATGACAAAAGCTTGTTGGCCCATGACCACATCTTGAGTGCCATGTGTGATCTGATGAGCTTTGGGAGGTTCAGCAATAGGAACTTCAATCTGGTTTGGTGATGAATCCCCAGAAGTGTCCGATTTTTTTAGCTGGTTCGATCCAACTTGGTCCTCTGAGTCACTCTGTGTACCATCTTCGTGTCTGCTACCTAATAGCAAAGTAAAACAATTGAAGTGCTTTGTTAATAAAGTAGCAGCTATATTAATAACATTATTGTATCAAAATTGAGCATTTTAAATATCAATCTTGTATTTCAAATAAAAAAATGTTCTATTTAAAATAGGGCAGAATACATGTTCAGTTTATATAAAAAAAACTTTAAAACACGAGACTTGACTAATTTAAACAATCACCTAAAACTTTCTGTGCAATACTTTAATTGAAAAACTTTCCTTTGTTTAAAAATACAACTTATTTCATTGAATGCTTGTTCAAAAGGAATAAGTTTACTTCAATATAGATGAAGATCCATAAGGGAAGTTTGGTATAAGGTGAAATTTATTTGGCAAATGAAGATCGCTACATCTTCCGCAAATGGCGCATTTTTTCAAATATTTCATCACAGAAAAGTCTCACAAAGCAAGGACAGAAAAAATGAGTTAGATTAGGACATAGGGCAGAGCCCACAAAGGCCTTGATAAATCTGTTGGAGTGAGGTCCAGCAACAAACAACAACAAGAAGATTACATTTGTATTGCGCCTTTCACGTCGGGAGGACGTCCATGTCAATATTCTTATCATGACAGCATAAGGTTCCCAGTCCGAAGAGCAGAAGAGGATTCTGCACTGGTCCAAAACTTTTGGAGATTGACATTAAAAGGAGTTTGCTCTATTGAGCTACGTCCAATGGCAACCGTGTAAATCAGCTTTATTTGCAAAACGCAATGTATATAAATTTTCTTCCAAATCAAATTATGAGTTATCAAAGTTACCTTGTCGCTGCTAGGTTTAACAGGGAGTTAACATTTGTTAGAGGAGTTAACACCCACTTAAGGAAAATGGAGTGCCAATTTAAAATAAACCTGGAAATCAACTTCATTTTTGCCAGTTTGTGATAGTCAAGCCACAGCAATTTCAATTCATGATCATGTTCCAACTCAAAGCAAAACATACTAAACCTTTAAGTGTCTTTATATGAACCTGAAGATCACTCTTGGTGCTGTACACATCATCCCTTGGGACCTGCCTTTTTATCATCAGGCTTGGATCATTCTGCACCAACCAGTCAACAACTTTACTCTCTGCTGATTGTACATCTGTTTGTACTGGCCCTTTTTCTACTTGCTGAGTTTTTCGCTGTCTCAAGGAAAACTTGGTCACGTGATTCTTTATTTTCATTTTTCCTGGTGTACAATCATCAAATTCAATTGTGAAGGAGGCGTGACTCTGAACTGGAGGGGATGCTATTGTGTCTGTGTCCTTTGTTGGGATTTCATGAACTTCACATTCTGGAGACTTGGACAGTTGTTGAAATTCTTTTGTTGGAATTTCGAAGTAACTCGGTTCTCTGCGAAATGAGTAGACAGCGTTTTCTCCACTAAAATCTTTATAATCTGGAATGTTTCCATTGATCTCCTGTTCACTTCTGGGTATCTCCTTGGAATTATCTGTGAGGAGAGTGAAGTTACAAATGAATGAACTTGTTAAATCTCAAGTTTTTTAATTAATGCTTTGTTTCCATACACTATCAAACCAAATTTCTAAACTTTACTAAAATGCTCAACAGTTATCAAACACAGAAACACATGTCATCTGGATCAGGAACTCAAAACTCAAGCAGCTTAGAATGATCAGAGCCCAGAGAGAGCTAAAATCTAGAAATCACAATTTGAACTAAGTGGAGGATATATTCTATGTTTTGACATTATTTGTGCAAGCAGCAGCAATAGCGCTTATACCAACTGTCATTCACCACATATTCCTTGATGCTAACTAACAATACGATCGGAAGATTAAATGACTGAGATCACCTCAGAAAAGGAAGTCAAAAGATAATCCTGGTTACTTTCATACACTTCCTAGTAGGCAGCTCAAAAGCCACAATTGTTCTCAACAAAACAGAAAACGGAAATATCAGTGCCATAAATAAATCAGGCCTGTTTATGGTAGGCTCTTAACAGAAAGTCATCTATAAAGGTACTTTGTTTATGGTTCCCAGAAACATCATTGAAGTACATAGAATGCTTAATGTTTAATATTTATGTTTGAATAATGCATTTTCAGAAAAGTAAACCGATTTCCAAAAATATCTAGAAAATCAATTTTACTGAAAAGCTATTTGGGTGGTTATATTAGATGCCTATTGGAAGGTGACATTGATAGCACAATTATATCAGCAAGCTTTTAATTCAGGCCCATAACAGACCTCCAGGGAGAGGTATTGTTTGGATAGTAATTGGCAACAGAATTTCTTGCTAAATTTTCCTCCCACCATTTCAACAGTGATGACAATCTGGTATAGATCTACTAACTCAACACGATAAAGCAAGAGTCTTCCTGGTTTATACAAACGATACCTTGCAGTGTATTCTTTATTCTGCATTCTCAACGGTTTGGAACCAAGAGGAAGGAGGAAGGGATTTATTTGTATTCAATTTTAAATATTCAACCTATCAAATCTATTTGAAGCAAATTCTGAAACAATGTACTATTGTATTCAGCATTTGCTCTAGAATTATTCAGTAGATTTAGATATTGTACAGTCTAAATATATTTGAATATGGCACATATTTCATCCCCAAATATACAGTCAATTCACTTTACAGTATATTCCGTGATGTGCTTTGAGACTTCGCGAAGATGTGATAAGGCGCTATATCAAATGCAAGGATTATTATGTTTTCACAGACCTCGTGGAAGGCTTCAGGCTTGCTTCCTACGTACACAAATTGATGTCTACCCAAAAGGCCAAAATGCAAGAGTAATCTTTCGATGGATATTGCCTCCAACCGATGGTAATATACATAATAAATCCTCTTGTGGAGGTTTATTACTAACCAATCAAAAGTATTCACATCAAGTAAGATTTTTTTTAAAATTGATGAAGTTTACAAGATCAGTTTGGTTTTAGCAGCCCTTCAGTTCAACCCATCTCATCCTTCCAGAACTCCCTAAGGACCCCTCCATCACAGCATCAAGTTGCTTTCTAAATTTGTCCTGTGTCCTGGCCTCAACCAGATTTCCTGATAACTGGTTCCGGTTATTGACCGCGTAAAGAAAACTTTCTGGTATCTGTCCTGTGCCATCTATCAAGTTCTCATTGAGTATTTATTTCTGGTATACAAGGCTTGGTATATCAATGTATGTTTGTGTAAATGAATATAAAGCATTCCGGCTGCAGAGGTAAACGATTGATTTGTGATCTGAATTACGCTTGTTGATAAATACCTATACTAGGATCTGCTGATTTTCTGGTTTCATCTCCTTCTCTTTTGTTATCCAGGTCATCATCTCCCCACCATGATGGTTGGCCGTACAAAGGGGTGGGTCGGAATGTGGCACCATCTAAAACAAAGAAACAAGAACAAAATGGATCAAACAAAATGCAGCCGTTTATCTAGCTGGTTTTGTACACAAATCAGGTGCATTATATAATAGTGTATTAAAAGCCAACATTTGAATAGCTTTTGAATTTCAGGCGAGGCGTCTATTCACCTCCGTCAAGATCATTTTTTTGTACCGGTAGGTAAAAGAAAAAATAAGCAATCTCACTGTACTGGATTAGAATTCCCCCTGCAAAAATCAATTAAGCTTGCATAATTTGTTAAAATGTATACAGAAGGAAACTGCTATTTTTGAATTACAATCAACATGAATCTCTTTCTTAAGTGAGGGAAGACACAAAGAGAAAAAATTAGTTAATTTGTCTGGAACGATTTATTACCCTAAGAATCCAGGACAACTCAAGTCAACTTCTAGAATATTTTTTAGTGGCAAAACTTTTTTTTTAACAAAATGACTGTACTAATTTTTCCAACTAAAGATTTTTTAAAAATAGCAAATATCTATATTTTAAAAATAAAATACGCACCAATACTACATTTCAAAAAAAGGTTTAAAGAAAATCTGCCTAAGACTGGTCTACATTAAAACAGAAAATACAAGCGCAACAGATCAACAGGTGAAACAATTGATACCAAGTAGAATACAGTGCCTAGCTTGCCCTTCTTCACATTAAATCTAATTTTCATTAGATTTTAGCAATGAAACCAACGGTAAATCCACAAATATGTTTTATTCAAGGACAATTCTATGGGTCATCACCATGGTAACCAAATCTATTCAATACACAACAGAAAGACATAATTACACATTACAGCTTACACTAAGAAGCCCAAACTCAGTCAATCCTACTTGCATGCAATCCAAAGAACTCAAAAACAATAATAAATCTGGTTTGTATTCAAGGATTTTCCCCATGGCACAATTATGGTCTAGCTCCTTTCACTACTCCTCAAAGTAAATTCCTTTCTAACTACTTTCAGTATTTCTCAACCGTATGCAGTGTCAAGGTCGGTTAAATAGAAAATTATTCATTAAAATTCTGATAAGCAGATACAATTCAACTCTTGAAGAACACATTCCTGCTCTTCAGCGAAGATGAAATTGCTCTACAGCATTTGAGTAGGTGCTAAACATACGTGGAGGATGATTAAGCAATATTTTGTGAGTCTACCACGAGTAGAAAAAATAGGGCACCAAAAAAAAGGCTAAAAATTCATTATGTCAACTTCAGTTATACAGTCAGCTATTAGCTCTAAAGGTTATGGTAAAGTTGCATCATGCCACTGGACTGTTATGATCCAAATTCCCTGATACACGAACCCAGGCATTAGGGACTAAAAGGGAAGCTTCACTAACCATGCCTCTTATTCTATTTGAAGTCTGAGAAAATTATCCAAATTCCACTATTGTGAAAAAAGACAACTGTTCAACACTTCATTTGCCCAAATTTAAGACTATATAATTAAACGTAATGATGTATTTCATTTGATAGCTACATCTTTGAAGTCAAAGAAACAGAATGGTTTCAGACTTAAAGGAATGAACACTGCTCCATGGAAACCTGGCTTTCAACTTCAACATAATGTCCATTTGGACTGATTTGTAGAATACTTCTTCAATTATTTCTCTAGTGTTCTTAAACTGTTAATCTTATTAAGATGCTTAAGAATATGCATCAGATTTACGCAAGCATAAATCTATTTCTGATGGGATATGTATATTTGAACAAAAAAAACAATCCTGCTTCTTTGACAAAGGGATGGCTGATTTTGTTTTTGTTGAGGTGAGGCCTGATGAATGGTGATATCTAATACATTAAGCCGACCTTTCTCTTTCAAACATTAATAGAAGTATGGGCATGACCTAATTCTTTTTTGTGTTCAGACTGGTTTCAACTTTTCTAAAATTAAACAGCAGTTTAAATTCTGCAATTTAATTTGAAAAATGATAAAAACATCAAAAACACTTTTTGCACACGACTATTTCAGTATTCTTAAACATAGAAGTAGATTAAATGTCTTTATTTTTGATGCAGAGCTATGTGCTATAATTAAAAGCAACACGGAACTATTGTATAAAAACTTATTTTGTGGGAAGAAAAACAAAACTGTTAGTTTTGTCAGGATGCCAAGACCGGCAATTTGAAATGATACGCCTACACATTAAAATTCAAACTAGGAGTTCAAACAAAGATTCCTTTATGTTTTAATTCCAGAACGTGCACTACAGTACTACACTATCAAGGTCGCTACAAATCCATGATGGCTAAGTCACCTGACCTGATTTTCCTACTATTTATTCATATGTACTTTTAAGTACTGTATTCACTGAAACCTATGTCAACAAATAAAGCAATGCACTTGTGGATTAAAAGCGCTTGCATTTAATGCAACTAAATATCAAAGGGCTCTTTAGGCATAAGTATTGTACACCAATAAAAAATACTGTACACACGAAGTGTTAAAACGAATGACTCAGATCAGAAACCAGGTAGGTCTTGAAATGGACCCTGAACGAGGTGAAGGAGCAAGCAAGTTATTAGGACACTGGAATGGAACATTTGCAATGAAGGGAAGTGATGTCAATGGTAACCTGACAATCAGACATTTTTAGCATGTAGGAAACCAGAGAGCAACACTGACAGCGACGTAATAACCTGGAATAGTGTGGGAAGCAAGGTGGAGTGAATGGGGTTCACTCTCCCTTTGTGTTATACAGGGCTGCACTGTTGGAATTTAACAACTGCATTAATTGAACCATGGAATATATTTACATTCCAATAAAGTCAGGAAATGGGTGACAAGTTATAGTTTACTATACACAGAAGCTCCTTGCAGCACTATCTTAGCAAACCAGTTTCTTGACCAAATACCTGTAGTTCCTTTCTTTTCGGCCTTCTCAGGATTTGGTCTGGAAACATCTGCTTTTGTACTCGACTCGTGGGACACACCAGACATGTCCACCTTATCTTCTGTTTTCACGGGTATGTGGAATTGACTGGTGTATTTCTCATGCTAGCAAAATAGAAATAAGTGGTAAGATAACTATTTTAAAGCAATTATTAGAAAATATGATAGTGAAACTCAAATTACCTTTAATGCCTCTTCAGGGACTGTGTGTGTACTCTTTTCCAATGTGTACTGGTTGGAATGTGAGGAATTGTGTTAAGGAAGCAAAAAAGATTAAATGCACCTAAAAAGTGAAACATAAGGACTTACCTGAAATCAGTGAAACCCTCTCAATCCAGTTTCTAGTGCATGTGATGCTTCAATAGTATCCTCATCTCAGCAGTTAAAAATCAAGTGATTCTAAAGTGTAAAAGATTATTCTGTGACTCTTCCTACTTGGAGAGCAGCAGCTACCACACTGCTGTCAAGAACAAGAAAATAACTTAGCACCTCATTGTGCATATAATAATACTTGCACTTGATATAGCGCCTTACCACATCTTCGAGATGCCTCAAAGCGCTTCACAGAATATACTGTAAAGTGAATTGACTGTATATTGTGTGGGCAAAATGTGGCAGCCAATTGCGCCCAGTAGTGTCCCACAGTGGTAGATTTTTTAAAGGAATTATTACCTCTAGAAAAGCGATTTGCTAATCGACTAACAACCGGGTTACTGCTTACTTCTAGGTAAACAGAGGCGTGTGGAGTAATGAAAGTTGCCCAACGTTTCGCCCTGCCGGGAATCAAACGCAGGTCTCTCGCTTGCAACTAAGTACTCTAACCACTGAGCTACAGACTTCACAGTATACAGAATATAGCTATAAATAGCATGAAACTAGGAGAATTTAAATTGCAAAGTGCCCAACATTTGAAGAAGTGCAGTGGCAGGCATCATTTTTTTTAAAAGGATATCATATCCAAAACGAATGGTATCTTTCACTTTCAGTGTTATGTACATCTGGTCAGGAATCCTTATATCATTTACAAATGTCTGTAGAAAGAAAGTACATTTCAAAATGCAAGCACAATCGTGCAACTGCATGAGAAGCTTTCATACCCAATAAAACATTTAATTGTAAAAAAGCTCTCCAGTGGTTGACATCTCCATTGCAAAAAAAATTGGAATTACAAATAGTATTTTGAATTGTAACTTCTGAATAACTTGCAACTTTTCGAATCTGCAAGTTCTTTTACAAAGAATTTTAGACCAAAGAACTGAAAGTTCTACTTCTGTAAACTGGATTATTACAAAAATGTTTTTCAGGCAAAAGCTTATTTCTACTTACCCCATTCAGACTTCCAAGATCCTTTACTCGGTGCTCATCAGTAGTTAAATCATAGTTGATAACTGCATGCTGCTTGTCTACACTTCGAGACTAGGAAGACATACATAATGTTGAGTCAAACCGAGAAATCAGTCTTGAGTAAACAGTAAATATTGCTAAATTGAAACTGCATACTCAGTTAGACAAAATAATTTGATTATACGCAGCTCAAGATTATTGAAGCAACAACAACAAAGTTACATTTGTATAGCGCCTTTCATGTCGGGAGGATGTCCCAAGGCGCTGGACAATCAGTATTTCGGACCCGAGCTGGGGGGGTCGGGATCGGGAGGGTGGAGGGTAGGGAGGAAAGCCCCAGGTTAACATTTGTGTGGGATGATTGTCCCTCACTCTCCCTTCATTAGGCACCATAAATCCTCTCAGGCAGTTTTCCTTATGAGATCATCAGCAGTCACTGTTTAATTTAAATGTTTGATTTTGGTAACCTATCTGTAGATCACAGATAAATAAATATAAAGAACATAAAAAGTTGCAACATGCTGGAATAAATATGAATGATAAAAAGGAAGATTAAAATGAAACAGGATGACAATAAAACATCAGAAGGTGAAAAACATAGGGAATCTATTTGGGTCCAAAGTTCTAAGTTTAAATCATTGAAGTTCCCCATCAGTATTTTTTTGTACTCGACTCGTGGAACACACCAGACATGTCCTCCTTATCTTCTGTTTTCACGGGTATGTGGAATTGACTGGTGTATTTCTCATGCTAGCAAAATAGAAATAAGTGGCAGTATTTTTTTAATTTATGCAGTCTGTTTGCATAAATTCCAACAGAAATATAGGATTAAAAAGAATTATTCAGTCATATATAGGATGTTTGTATTCAACAATTCTAAATGGTGGCACCTAAATAAATGTTCAACTAAAATAAATATAACTGGACAAGGTAGACAAATTTCACCAAACAGTTCTCTGTTCTTCTGTAAAAGAGCTATAATTCACACCCACCCAAAATTAATGCAGATTTTATAAGGTGCAATCAGAAACTCACAATGCTTTAGCAATTTTAAAATTTAACTCTATGTTACGTTATTTCAGCTCCTGCTATTACCTGGCAGATTCATATGCTCACTTGTCCAAAATACAAATTTGCAAAATGAAATACTATGCTCCATAAAGAGGTTAAATCTACAAAAAAGGTGCTGCACATTCCAATAAATATGCAATTTCAACAAAGTAAAAATATTGCTATATTTTCAATAGGTTTCAGCATGTTCCTTACAGAATAATATGTCCCTTCAGTTTAAGGCAAGAGAGGTAGCTGGTACTTCAAACACCTCAAGGCCTTCTATTGTAATACAAAGGACACTGGAATTTTTATTAAACAATTAAATGTTGGGACAATTTTTACATTGATCCTTTAAATTTAACAGCATATAAGCTTGGGAAACTATATCAAGGTATCATACATCATTAGTACAATTTTCTTTCTGCTGGCAACAGAAGTCAAATCCAGCCCACACTGCGCAAGTATTAAGTAAAACGGGTTTGGGCAGTCTCAACTTAGGTACTTATGGAAACGACTCTTCAACACAAGTCAATAGAAACTGGCAGACCCGTTCACAAGCCACATGAATCCCTGCTGCAGAAATGGAAAAATCATACTAATATGGTAGAGGATACTCTATAGACTTCAGAGTTTATAGTTCTTGTTGGGACTGTGCAGATCCTAACAGTTTCAAAAGATGCCATGTTATTAAGAATTTAAGCATGAAACCATTTTATAACTTGCTGAGTTGGGTTTCTTCTGTAAACCCTTTTTATACCTGATCAGTACTGAAACTGACAATGAATCGAGAAAGGAATATGTTCATAGTACTGATATCCTTCCATTTGATGGTCAAATGCCAAATCACATATTATGCTTAGGATGGATTCATTAATGTATTAAAACATTCGATTTTTCTCCAAGAGCCACTAAATATAATGGCACATCATTATAAGACAGCAGGTGGGGTTCATAAAATACCACCTTTAAAGAGACCAAAATTACCAACTTCCCTGTGCCAGGCTGCAGTGGGTCCTCCAATTAAAAAAATGGCCAGCTTCCAGGTCAAGTCATTGTTGTCACTTCTGGTGTGCTGCGCATACGCAATGCAATAAGCTACATCAGTAATGACTTGAAACCCAGAAGTTTGCCATTTTTAACTTGTCAGAAGCTGCAAGCATGTCCACAATAGAGCTCAAGTCACATTTGTGTTATAAACAAACTACAATGAAGTTTCAGAGCATTAATTGGAAAGGTCAAGGAGCAAATTACCACCATGGCTCAAAGGTGTGAGATATGGAGGGGATAATTGGGGAGGAAATGATATATATATATATAAAAAAACACAAAATTTCAATTAAGATCACTTCCAAAGTGAGAATAAAAATGTCAATAAGCTCCCTCGATGAGCTAATGGATAAATACAGCACAAAGTCCTGAGGATTGAATGCTATGCTGAATGCTGACCTCGGGTGGGGTAGTTCAGTAGCCTAAATTGGTCTCAGCATTTCTGGAATATGTAAGAAGTAAATCTGACAAGTTTCCCATTCCTAATTGCTATCCTCTGATGAAAAGTGTGTGTAAGTGCAGTTGACTGATGAGGATCAGACTTATGGCTGTAATGCTTCTTCCCTTCCCTCCTCCCACCATGATCCAATAGGCTGCCAAGTCACAGCCAAAGCTCATACATACATCAATAATGGCCACTTCGGTAAGAAATCAGCATGCATGGAATCGTACCCCAGAAAGAGAGCCAAATTGCCTTTTCGAGGAGAAAACATTTCAGGAAGAGAAATTAAATTCTGACTTTCTCCCATTCTCTACAAAATGTAATCAACCCAAACTGAAAATTATTTACCTGGAGCATTAGTTCACAGTCTTCTCGACCAACAAAAATCATTTCTTTGGGGAGTCGGTGGCGCGAGCCACAGGTGCTCACCAGGAACCATGACGTCACACTCATCCTTAGTGTTTGGCACTTAATGTCTAAAATTCAACATTCCTAAAAAGAAAAACACTTATAAATTTATTTTTAAAACAATTGGGATTTAAAGCAAAGCAATAAAAAAGAGCAACTATCTGGAGATACTGCATGAACACTGCAGCAGGAACTAATTACAGTTTGGGGTGCATCAGCAGGTTTTCCTTGATGTACATTTTTCACAATAAAACACTGGCAAACACCAGTCAAAATATTTAGCCATCAATATTTATAAAACAGTAAGTCTTCATGGCCTGTCTAGGACAAACACTGTAAACAAGCTTATTTTATTCTTCAAAATACATTTGAGCCCTTAAAATAGTGCCAGCAAATTAAAAAACAAAATATTGTAAAGGCTAATATGTTATTGATAATAAATCCAGCAATCTTCCACGGAGTTCAAATAATGTTAATTGCAAAAGCAAAGATGGCTTTGTATGGCCAGTTCCAGAGGCCCACTGCATTTTTATGTACAAGATCCACCTGCACGCATTGGAAATGGTGGTGAACATCAAGTGCTGGAGCACTCCATGAAGTTGATGCAACAATACCCCAATGATAAACAGATGAACGATAAACACAATCAATGCAAGATTATTAAGTGAAAACCTGTAGATACTCATTTTTTATTGCACCATTATACTACTGAACAGAATTTATAATATTTAAGTAGGTCACAGCTCCATTTGATCCAACTCCTATTTTTAAAAAAATTGCCATCTTAAATCAGCATTAAGAAAAAGAAAATTTTAACTCTCTACTAAAAATTGTGAGAATATGATTTTGGACACTTTTGCGATTGTAGAAACAAACTTTTGTATACCTGACCAACTTAAGTGGGTGAGGACTCACTTCACGACACATTAAAGTTATAATCAAATATTGTCAGATGATGATGACATATTAAAGCATATCCAAATATTGTCAGACAATGCAACCGCCCATGACAACATATTGCCCCACTGCAATATCAGCTACAGACCAAGGGAAATAGATGTCTGGAGAACCTGTGTTGTGATGAATTAAATAAAGACAGTACATGAACGGCACCGGCTCAAGTAGGAGACAGCGAGACACCCGCTGAATTAATACATCACTCAATACATCATCTGATTTTTAAAATCTGAAATTCCTCGATTCAGGAATAGAAAAATCCTAAGTCTTTCCGTTAAGCCACAATACAACACGCAGTTTGAGGGGTTCCCCCCCCCAACCCTCTTCTTTCACCACCATCAATGAACTTACCAAATATTTGTTGGATTTTCAACAAAAAAAAATGTCACACCACCTCATCGACGGGAAGGAGGTGACCGACCTCCCTCATTGCAATCGTTCTGCAATGAAGTTTCCAAAAATCTGTGGTGAAATGACACGTATTTTTGAATAAAACAGAATTCAAAACGAGCAGTGCTCTGAGAGCCGCTTTCCTAGTCGGGGGGGAATCTCTCTTATTTCATCCCAGGGATGATTTAGGACAGTGCAGACTGGGTACCTCCCTTCTCCTCTTTCCCCCCCCCCCCCCCTTCCTTCTCAGATCCAGTCCCTTCCCTCCCCCCCTCCAGCAAAGGCTCCATCCATTCATTCCTTCCTTCCTTTTCCTTCACACGGCAACGACTCGCATCTCTCTTCCCCCTTTTGACGACGAAGACGCCACTCACGCCTCCTCCACCTCTCGCACAGCCTCCACTTAAGCCTTTGCCCCGGATACAGGCTGCAGCCCACCCTGACCATCCAGTCCATCCCTCCCTCCCTCTCTCCCTCCCGTCTCCTCTCCTCTCTCACTCCTCACGGCACAGCCTCCATTTTGCCGGCGAGTCTCTCGGCTCCTTTCTCGCCTCTCAGTTTAACGCGACGCCGGTAGCAGTGCTGCTGCTGCTGTCGGTGATGGTGGCGGCGGTGTCTCGTCTCTTGGGCCGGAGCCCGGCACCGAGCGCTCACTCTAGGCCGTCCCGTCTAATCGGGGAGGGGGCGGGCGGCCCGGGCCGGTGAGAGGGAGGGGGCGGGCGGGCGGCCCGGTGAGAGGGAGGGGGGGGGCGGCCCGGGCCGGTGAGAGGGGGAGGGAGGGGGCGGGCGGCCCGGTGAGAGGGAGGGGGCGGGCGGCCCGGTGAGAGGGAGGGAGGGGCGGGCCGGCCCGGTGAGAGGGAGGGGGGGGCGGCCCGGGCCGGTGAGAGGGGGAGGGAGGCAGACGAGTTGGACGTGAGGAATGTAACTCGAGAGAGAGAGAGAGAGAGAAATCACAGCGTTAGAGTCTCACCTTCACATCCCGAGCAGCGCGAGGCGGCGGCGACGACGGGATCTCTGATGTCTGATCGCTACGGTACAACGACACAGGGCTCTGAGGGAGAGCCGCTCGAGCTGCCGCGCGCCCCGCACCTGCCCCCGTCCCCGTCCGTGTCCCCGCCTCGCGCTCCGGCTCCTCCCCCTCCCGGCCCCGGGCGGGGGCGCGCGCAGGTTACTGACGTCACTCACCACCTGACGCCACCGGCTCCTCGCGACCTGCGAACGGCGTCTGCGCGCACTTCACTGCATTGCTGCCCACCCGCCGTCTGTCTGTCTGTGTCTATCTGTCTGTGTGTGTCTGTCTGTCTGTGTCTATCTGTCTGTGTGTGTCTGTCTGTGTGTGTCTGTCTATGTCTGTCTGTGTCTATCTGTCTCTGTGTGTGTCTGTCTGTGTCTATCTGTCTCTGTGTGTGTCTGTCTGTGTCTATCTCTGTCTGTCTGTGTCTATCTGTCTCTGTGTGTGTCTGTCTGTGTGTCTATCTCTGTCTGTGTGTGTCTGTCTGTGTCTATCTGTCTCTGTGTGTGTCTCTGTGTCTTATCTGTCTCTGTGTGTGTCTGTCTGTGTCTATCTCTGTCTGTCTGTCTCTGTGTGTGTCTGTCTGTGTGTCTATCTCTGTCTGTGTGTGTCTGTCTGTGTCTATCTGTCTCTGTGTGTGTCTCTGTGTCTATCTGTCTCTGTGTGTGTCTGTCTGTGTCTATCTCTGTCTGTCTGTCTGTCTCTGTGTGTGTCTGTCTGTGTGTCTATCTCTGTCTGTGTGTGTCTGTCTGTGTCTATCTGTCTCTGTGTGTGTCTCTGTGTCTATCTGTCTCTGTGTGTCTGTCTGTGTCTATCTCTGTCTGTCTGTCTCTGTGTGTGTCTGTCTGTGTGTCTATCTCTGTCTGTGTGTGTCTGTCTGTGTCTATCTGTCTCTGTGTGTGTCTGTCTGTGTCTATCTGTCTCTGTGTGTGTCTGTCTGTGTCTATCTCTGTCTGTCTGTGTCTATCTGTCTCTGTGTGTGTCTGTCTGTGTGTCTATCTCTGTCTGTGTGTGTCTGTCTGTGTGTCTATCTGTCTCTGTGTGTGTCTGTCTGTGTGTCTGTCGCTCGGTCCGAGGATGGAAATAATGTAAAGTGTGGTGTTATTGACCCTCCGCTCACATCGCTGAACTGAGCCGACACAGCGCCGCTCTCCCGGTCGCCGCTGACGTGCCTCTCGAGCTTCGCTGCAGTCGTGTCGGGACGGGTTGCAACGAAGCGCACGTCTGACTCAATGCAAACAAATCCCTCTCTTCCCCACTCCCTCCCTTTCATTCGGCCTCAGAGTCCAAACACACTCTGCAAAGCTTATCTGCAACCTGTAAATGTTGTTACAGCAGAATCGTCGCAGAAAGTGAGGACAGGATCATTTATTTGTCCACATGGTGCCAATGTTTTTTTTTTGGTTTGCATTCAGATGTTCACGTTACCAGTGTCCACTTTCACCAAAGGCATTCCTTGGCGAGGCTATCATTTGTTATTTCAGTGAGAGAGAGAGAGAGAGAGGAAAAAANTTATCATTTGAAACGATGGCTCAGGAGAGGGAATTTGTGGCCAATGGAGGTTAATGCGGTGTTTTGCTTTTGTGACAGCCATCCCCTCCAAAAAAAAAACGAAATGATAATAAATTGGTCATTTTCAATCCACGACTGTCTGCGGGACGCTGCCGCGCGCGATTGGCTGCCGCGTTCGCCCACAAATATACAGTCAATTCACTTTACAGTATATTCTGTGAAGCGCTTTGGGACGTCTAGAAGACGTGAAAAGCGCTATATCAAATGCAAGGATTATTATTATTATCCCCCACCCCACCCCAAAAAAAGGTGGAATGAACAATTCAGCACAAGTTCATGAAACGATATGGTTATCGTTTTGTTCCACCGTTTGAAATGCACACCGCAACCAGCAATTTTCTGAAGGTAAAATACTTCAGATGTTGGAAATCTGAAATAAAAACAGAAACGGCTGGGAGCACTCAGCAAGTCAGGCAGCATCTACAGAGAGAAGAAAGTGAGTCAACCTTTCAGGTTGATGTCCTTTCGTCCAAACTCAGAACTCCCCCCCCCACCAGAAATGATCTTTATTCATTTAACAGCGTAATAAAAAAGTTACATTGCAAAGGACACACATTTTTATTTCTACACAACACCTTTGCAAATGTATTGCTCGTGAATCGTACAACTATGGAAATAGAATCACATTAAATAGATGACGAGAAATCTTCCCTTAACCAAGATTACGTTAAGCATATAATATCAATAATATAATATTCTCTTTTGCTGTTCATTTATATGCTCCAGTATCATCGATTGAATGTGCTCGAAGTTTGAAAAGTAAAGAGTAGCCAATCCTACAATGCTCCAGTTAGCAATGTTTTGGGTTATCTTCTGACTCATCTCTATCACAGCTCAATTACACAGTATAGAGACAAGCTCTAACCTATCGTAACATTTTTAATTTTTGTTGGGGTGACTCGCAAACTTGTCATTCACACTCCTGTAAGGAAAAAAATTTACTGGATAAGTTTATTACGGAGTATACAGAGAAAAGATACATTATGGGATCCAAATAGTTTCTTCCACAGAGAGCACTGGTGAAGTCAAAGATTAAAAAAAAGTACCCTGGAATTAAGATTTCCAAATAAAAACGATGACACTGCTTAAAGAGGCCACAACGTCTGACCACTTTAAAAATTA